AGCACCTTGATAAGGAACGACTTGCCGGTGCCACCACCACCATCAACGTGGAGAAGGATTTGAGTGGGATTTCGCGCCTGGAAGTGGCCCATGAATGTGTCGTACACGAGCCGTTGTTGTGGATTCAGCGTATTACGCCATTGAGGGCCAAGGACCTCCACATCGTTGGCCATGGGGTGGCTAGCGATAAGGTCCTTCCAGTAGCCATCTCGAAGTTCCGGATATGTACCCACATGCCGTGTCCAGTCGTAATTGACGTCGATATCGCGGCGGCCAAGAAGGTCAAGAACTTCCTGGGTAAGGGGTGGTCAGGTAAAGGGCAGCGAGGCGAATCCAGTCTTCGTCATCAAATTCTTCCCCACAGGCAGAGCCTCATATTGATCATCTTGAGGCTGTAATCGAGCCTCTTTTGGCTGGCCGTAATGGTCATCACCATGATTGTGATGCTGCCAACAATAGGAGAAGGCCTGAACGTGGGAACTAAAAGCCTGGCCGTCGAAAGTGAGGAGCTCATCAAGCCGGCGATGTGGGTGATTTAATGTCAGCTTTACACGGCAATAATCTGGCCACTGCTGGCCTTCTGGAGCAACCTGATAGCGAGGAAAGTAAACCAACACACGGGGCCTGCCGTTAACGTTGCCTGGCCGCCATTGCTTCCATGCGGAAGGGTCTCTAGAGCGGAAATTCCAGTGTTTGAGGAAGGAAACGTAGGTCAGGTCCTTCAGGGCTTCCGGGCGCTGACCGTACTTTTCGTAGACGTTGGGGCCTCGTCAACCTCATCGCCGTCAATGCGTAAGGAGCGGGAATGTCTGTCAGGATGACGGCAGTCAACGTATAGGCAGATTCGTGAGCCCTCCTGTAACGGCAGGCCGAGGAAGTGGCTAACCTCCTGCTTCGAGTAATCCCGTTCAGCAACTAGCTGATTCAGGAGCTTTGACGTGAAAGAAATCAGGGGTTGTGGTCCTTGACCCAGGGCATCAGCGCCTTCCCAATCTGGGTAAAAGACTCGCTCTTCTTTTCTGACTTGGAGCAGTATTTGGCTGCGTAATCGATCACCTGCTGGAGGCTCGTGCAGGAGAGACATCTGTATTGGCTAGCCATGCAACGGTAAGCAAGCGGTTGTAGTGGTTAATCTGGCCATCGTTCCTCCCACCCCTAAAGGTCCAGTGCTTGGGTGAGGCAACTTGTCAAGGGAGGCTAGTAGGCGCTGTCCGTGAGGAAATCCAAATCGGCACTCTACCTGCTTGGTATGCTTATTGCGCTGCATACAGTAGTTGTTGCAGCGGTGGCGTTGCACGCGGTTGACTACCATCGATAGGAACTGAACGGTAAGGGCTGCTCCAATAGATTGCTGATCAGGATTCCCTTCCCCAGGAGCCTGTATTCGATGAGGCTCTGGGTTAACGGCAGATACGTGATATCCCCAGATACGGGCAAATCGCTCCGGGATCGATTATCGTCAGGATCCAAGTCTGGGTGGCCACTTAACCAATATAGGCCATGGTGGTGACTGGACCCCTGCCCTGCCACTCATAGCGGCCCCAAAGGTCCGTTAGGTTGAACTTCTGCTTCAGGACAATAGTCGTAGAAGCGTATAACGCTTGTAGAAGTGGTAGGCGGCGATGTGGGCGTTGTCTCGCAGTAGTTGCCGGGACAGGACCATGCGCGCCGCCTCAGGAGCTGCTTTCCACTCTTGGAATCGAGGCATGTGACGATATAGTGATTCCCAGTGGTAATCGGCCGCACTTGCAGTAACGAAAGGCCAGGTCTGCCCAGATTGTAGGCATATGCTTCCAATTCCTTCCTTTGCTTATACCAATACGGCCGGGTGCCTGATTACCGCGGCTTGGCGCGTGATCGACTGGATCAGGTCCTGAGCCTCTGGCTCATCAGGCTCAGCCATCGCTTCCTCTAGGTCAGCGCGTGTAAGGGGTTGACGGCGGCTGTCGCGTTGCTTGACGAAGTAGTCACTTCGCTTTCGGACCTGCGCACGTAGCAGCGTGTTGAGGGCGACGAAGGCCACGTTTTATGGCGGGCAAAACGTCCGTCATGCCATCTCATCGCATGGCCAAGGTAGTCCTGGTACGTGATGCTCCGTAGGCGAGGCTCCACGAAGTCGGCCTTGCCGTCAGGGTAGAGGGTAGGGAACGCAAGCGATAACAGCGGCTGGGAACGGTTGAATTCGTCGATAGGGGTCCTGCGAATGGATGGCAATGGCATCTGGTGGTGATGCGTCCGCATCGCAGGGATCCTCTTCCAAGGCCTCCTCAACAGGGCCTTGTGGGATCTCGCCGTCAGGTATGTCAGCCACTTGGCTAGCAATGGAAGCAACTATGCTGCCGTCAAGAGGAAGCCGTTGCAGGCGATCCTGGCTCACGACGATATCGCGATAGCCCGGGTGGTGGCGCTGTAGGTAATACAGCCAGGTCAACAGGCATGAACGGCGTACCCGGAAATCGCGAGCAAACTGTTGCTGGAAGCGAGGTCGCCTTCCATATTAGGAGGCCGTAGGAGCACGATATCTAGCTCCTTCGGTAGCACTGGGAGCTCTTCAAATAGCCTACCAATGTTGCGAAGAAAGTGGATAACGTGGCCGCGATATTTGTATTGAGCGCCACGCACTTGTAGGACCTTGACGTGTACGTGAATCCTAGCAATAAGCATCTCCTCAACCATCGTTAGATCGGGTAGATTGCCGGGGACTTCCCCAAAGTCGAGGTTATTCGCAGCGCTGAAGAAGTAGGGCTCGTCGAGGGCTTTCTTCCTGTCTCGACCAATGCAGCGGCTGCAGATTTTCAAGCTATTTCGTTTCATATCGAACCAACGCTCCTGGCAGCGAATGCAACTATGCATCTTGTCGTCATTCAGGGCAGTATAGAACTCTCGCACAAGCGCCTGATCTTCCTTACTAAGGGCGGGCAAGTCAAGGTCACCTGTAAAGGCGGATCACTACTCTGATCAAACAGCCGCGCTTGAGGCTGTGTGCCTTGACGAGTATAACGGCCGCGGTGATGACCCTGTGACAATAATGAAGGAGTGGTAGGAAGCGATTCCTGTGGTATAGGAGTGCCTTGCACAACAGGAGCTGTAGAAGCAGTGTCTTGAATCGGCGTGCCCAGAACTACTGTTGGCAGGCCAAGGGTAGGAGGAAAAGGGAAGGTCCTCAACAGGGCTTAGAGTAGATGGCCCCAGCGGAGGTATAGGCAGTTCCGGTGCAGGCGCCAGGCCACGGAATAAAACAGGCATGGCAGGAGGTCGTAGGTCAGTCACAGACGCAGGCGTTGGCGCAGTCCGCCTTGGAGGCGTCAGGTTAGCTAGCGAATCCGTCCTCTTCGTGGCTCTGCGTAGCGATGGTCTCGAGGCGATATTCCGCATCGCGGTAACGGCGGCTCGCGATTCGGTTGCCCGTTCTTTTCGGTGTGCCCTACAGCTAGCACACTGTCCTGTAAACTTCGTAGGGTCCTTGACGCTTCGAAATTCGACTTCGGGCAGATCTTGCTTGCAGGTACGACAGTTGCGGACTGCCTCGGGCATATTGTTCTCCATCTGACCGTATATATCCACCTCTTTCCCACCGAGACTGCTAGATATTGCTCGGGCAGGGAGGCTTTGCGAGGACTTGCGTGGCTGCAGCAATACACACCCGCAGGTGGTGCCAGGAATGTTGTAGCTAGGTCGGCCGCGGAGCTAAATTTGACCTAGAATCCGTTAGTAACCGATGGGTTCGATAGATTCGACCCACGATGGAAGTGGAAGCGTGTGCTTGGAAACTTGCATTGAAGAAAAGCTCTCGAAACGGCTAGCTCGTTACCTAGTCAACGCTCAGGGGTTTGCGGCATGGCCTTCATTTGGTGGCGTTGCCAACCGACCACTCCCCGCACGAGTTGAGTACAGGGGAGGCCAATTAGCCAATGAGAAGAGGTTTTATGCCTCTCTTTCTGACTGAATAAACGCCCTTCGGGCTGAATGACCATATATGGCCATACGCGGTGTAAAGTTCCCCCGCGGCTGAAATGCTTGGCGAGTGGATGGGTGCAACTAACGTTTGGTGAGGTTTTACCAAGTTGCAGAACCTTTGATGATTCAAATTGAATGGACGTGTTCTCCTCGCGCAGTGGGACATTAGTGAAGATAGCGCGAATACGTAGATCGTGTCCTCGAACCTTGCCAGATAAAAACAGAGGATTCCTCAGTTTAGTTTAGTTTAGTTTAGTTTAGTGTATTTTCCGTCCAGCAACTTTTGGTCGCTCAGGTCTCCGCAGGGGAGCACAGGACGTGCTGAGCTAGCAGGTGTCTACATGCTACATATCGTACACTTCACCCACTATCCAGCATTTCATCGGCTCAACGGCGCTCATGACAAACCTGTTGCCCGTCAGCGGGACGTCCAGGCACGAAGAAAGCTGTCCCGTGGTCAGATCAGCCAATTTGCTTCTGGGGCCTTGCAGCCCTTGATGACCTCGGCGATCGCATGGTCGTGAGACCTTGACGCCGCCCGAGATCGGAGCAGGTAACAGAAAGAATTGAGAGGAAAGGTAGGGTGAGAGAGGAGAATGATGACCGTCTAGTGGCGTGGGCAGATCCCTCCGAAGAAGGAGCTCGCTGTCGCCAGCCTGACGAATTTGTCAAAGTCCTTGCCGATTGCGCGGTTGATGGCTGCAGCCGGCCAAGGTGCAAGCCGCATACGATGCCGTGGCGCAACCTTTCTGCAGTAAAAGATGTGTGCTGGCTCTTTTCGTCGTCCGCACGAGCACGTCAGTCGCGCATCGTCGTGACCAAACCTTTCGTGGTAGTCAGCAAAATCCCCATGGTGGGTTCTTGCTGCAAGCAAGTTATGAAGCAGGGGCCGAGAGAGCGCCAATTCTGACGGACAGCTGGTTGTGGCTTTAAGCCTCAGGTCTCTGTATCGCTCCGGCGCAGAGGTTTCCCACCAGGCACTGAAAGCCTCTTTCCGCTGCAGTCGGGCAATTTTTCGCAGATGCGCTAGCGTCGGTTCGCCATCAGCGGGTTCTGGCAGTGATGCTCTGCCTTTGCCAGAGCATCAGCCTCCTCGTTGCCTGGGATGTCAGCATGGCCGGGGATCCAATGGACCTCCACAGCTCCGTATTTTCGCGCCAAAGATTGGAACTCAGGAAGACCTCTTGCGAGGAGTCGTTCGGCGTGCCCCGTAAGCATGTTGCGGTCGCGAGGTTGTCGAGGCAGACAAAGATGCGGTCAGTTTCTGGAAGGCTCCCTTTCGCCTCAGCGTCGAAAACCTCAGCTGTTCCAAGACGGCCCTTGCCGCTCAAGACGGTGGATCCGTCCCGGTGAACAGCATAGCCGTATCCGATGTGGCCTTCCTCAGAACGAGACCCGTCGGAGTAGACGACAAGAGTTCGGGGCGATAGTGCCTGAAGCCAGTCGCGAAATTTTTTCGCCGTCTCGTGTTTCGATGCACTCTGCAGAGGCGCAGTCTGCTCTTCGGCAAATCCGCGCTGCAGTAAAGCAGGTCTCGGGCAGCTCGATAGCATTTCGTCGGCTCGCCGCAGTCTGGTACGGAAGGGCTGTGGCTGTTTCTGGTACTTCAACTTGATAAGTTTGTTCACGGTCACGACGGGAGCTTTTGGTCGCGACGTGCGCTGGACGAGCGGGTGAGCTTCGTCGAGAGCTTTAAGGCGCGCAGCAAAGGCCGTCCGACGCCCTTCGAGGAGTAGAGGAACGGGCGGTATTCCCGCCTCCCTGTGCAGCACGTTCGTCGGTGTCGTCCTCCACACTGGCAGAATAGCCCGAAGAGACGTGTAGAGTGCCTTGCTCATCTTCTTGACGAGGTTGCCAATCCCCGACGGCCCCTCCTTGGAAGGCTTCGTCCAGCGCGGGCTTTTCGGACCAGGGTACCAGGCCTCCGCCGCGTACAGTAGCACGGGGATGACGCAAGCGCAGACGGCTCGTCGCATAGCACTCGGCAGAGGCCATGTTTCGTGTTCGTCAGTCTCCTAAGATGAAAGGCAACAGCTTGCGCCTTGGCCGTCCATTTCTCGACGTGTGTCTTGAGAGAGAGCTGTCGAGCCAAACGCCGAGCCAACGCATCGCTCGATCCGGCCGTTTCTCAAACTCGCCGTGGAGCACCGGCGGCGCCGTCTTGGGCTTCGTTCGAGAGAAGTGCATCACTTCTGTCTTGTCGGGGTCGAAAGAGATCCGTTAGCGGCGCCCCACGAAAGAAGCTCACGTACATGGTGAGATGCTTCGGCGGTCGTTTCATCAAGGCTATTACCGACGCATAGAATGGCAGTGTCGTCCGCGTAGCCGAAGCGTCCCTGAGAGTGACCTGGGCGATATATCGGCTCCGTGTACAACAGGAAGAGGATCGGCGAGACGGGCGACCCTGCGGCAGACCGCACTGGAGGGCGATGAATCCGTCACGATGTCTTGATAACGGATGCGTGCCGATCTGTCCTGCATGAACGAGCCGGCCCAGCGCGCGAGGTTCGATGGCCATCCTTGTTCTCGTAAGCGGAGGACCAATCTATTGCAGAGAACTGTATCGAAGGCGCCTTGTATATCCAAGGTCACCAGGGTTGCGACTTGCTTCCGGGCGAATGCCTCCTCGATGTCGTGAACCAAGGCGGCTACGAGATCCACGGCCGACCTCTTCGGGAGCGCGCCGGCTTGTTGTGGGTGTAGTACGCCGAAGTGGATTGAGCCCACGCTAGACGCCGTGCAATGAGCCGCTCGAGGCCCTTGCCGAGACAAGACAAAAGGGAGATGGGGCGCCAGGCGCGGGGTGTAGACAGATCTCTGCGTCCTAGCTTGGCGATCATAACCACTTCTGCTTCTCGGAAGGGCTTCGGATGGTGGCCAATCCTGAGGCAGCCTTGATACAGCTGATGGACGAGACTGCCGATTGCATGCCAGACAGCGCGAAGCATCCGCACCGTGATGTTGTCCGAGCCTGGAGATGTGTTCCCGGTGCGTAGAGTGGCGTCGCGAGCCTCCTCAAAGGAGACCTGATTGGGAAAGGGAATCATCTTATCCGTGTTCACGGGAATCCACGGGTCTGGGATGTCGTCGCTCGCTGTGCGCCGCTCCAGGGTTGCTCGCCGCAAGGCGGTGGCTTTCTCCAGCTGCGTCTCGTACACTCGGCCGTCTACTTGCAGGGGAGGTGCCTGGCACGGCCCTGAGGATTTTAGCCAGCGGACCGCCCGAAAGACGGAGTCGCCGTCGGCAAAGCTGTCGATCAAGTCGCGCCAGTAAAGGCGTTTTGCTCGGCGCACTGCATTGTGAAGCTCCCGCTTGGCTAGCTGCACTTCTCGGTCGAAGCCGAGAGGGTACACCCTCCTCCACGCGCGATAATTGGCCGCCGCCTTTGCGCACTCTTCGTTCCACCACCGCGCCCCATGCGTCGTCTTACGGACGGGTCGGCCCGCAGCTCTCGCTGCACAACCAAGAAGGTCCACCAGCGCCGACGCAAAGTTGTCCAGCTCGGAGGGAGTTGAGGTTGTAGTCGGGATGAAAGCTGCACCGGCTTCTACCAGCTCGACAAATCGCTTCAATTCCTCATCGGGTTGAGGCGGATCTTGCATAATGGAAGGGTGTTAGGGCTTGACTAGGCAGCATGATACTAAGGGTAAAGTGGTCGGACCCGGTTGCTAAATGATCCTCAACAACCGCGTCCGCCAAAGGTATATTGGAGAAGGCGAGATCGATCGTGCTGCCGCGCGCGTTAGTCGGGACATCGACAGCATTCAATAAGCTGAGTCGGTTATCCATGGCCCAGAACGCGATGTCTTCGCCGCGGTGCTCTTGTCGACCGGCCTGCCAGCTGGGATGCTTGGCGTTGAAGTCGCCAGATACAAGGCATTTATCCGTCACGCACCAACCAAGCAGTATTTCCAGAGCCGCGTCGTAGTCCGGCTGCCGATAGAAGTTAACTACCGTCGTCCCGTTCACGGTGAGCCAAAGGATGTCACGAGTCGCCGCAGGTCTCTTTTGATCAGCGACGAGGCCTGCGGAGCGCCGGACGTATGTCATGACTCTCGGACGAGTGTCGCGGCCGTCCCAGTCGGTGACGGGTGAGAATGTGTCGTAGGCCGGATGCGTCTTGGTGAGGCATCGGCCGTCTTTAAGTCCTGTCCATGGTTCCTGCAGCAGGATAATGTCGTATCGCTCCGAATCAGCCAGCGCGAGCGGTGTCATGCGCCGGAGGATCTTGCCCACGTTGGCTTGGAAGACTCGCAAGGACCTCCTGTCGCTTCGATTGTTGGGATGACGGTGATGCATTAGGGCAGCGTCACAGGGCTAGTGCGTCGTTTCTTCGACGGGACGACAGGGGTGAACTGGTTGTCATCGCTAGCGTGCGGCGGCGTCGTGGCCACGACAATGCAAGGGGTGAGAAGCGGCTCGCTCTGGGTGGCGCTTCTGCCAGAGCTTCCATCCTCTCCAGCTGCCTGCGACTCCGAAGAACGTAACTGACTCGAATCAGGGCTCTGACAAGACTGCTCGGGCACGTTGTGGTTTGGTGTCTGTCTTTTCTGCTGCGCGAAGAGCTGAGCTCCCGCCTGCCTCACCAGACCCTTCTCCTCTTTCGTCAGGCGCCGTACAATGCCATGAACGCGCATGGGGCGGGCAGGGCATTTAGGGTCATCAGCGCAATGTGGCCCGAGGCAGTTTGCGCACTGCTCGAGGGCTGCGCACTCTTGGCTACGATGGTTGGTCTTGCCGCAACGTCTGCAGCGCGCCGTCCGGTCGCAGCTGTGGCGAGCGTGGAAATCCCAGCATTTATCGCATTGGCTAGGGATGCTGGGTTTGTCAATGTAACGGGCGAGACGGCTGGCGCCGAAAAGTCTCCAGGGTCTTCGTGTGGGTTCCAGGAAGGACACAATCAGGGTCTGGGTGGGCATATCACCCGAGTCGTGTCGCGATAGACGTATGCTGATGGGCTTCAGTCCGGTTTGGCAGGCAATCTCTTCTTTGACCGCCTCCTCGTAGTTGATCACGACACCTCGTAGGTCTGTGAGCCTACGAGGACAATCGGCTACCACGTACGAATGCCATTTCTGGCTTATCTCTACGGCCGCGGCTTCCAGGTCTGCAGCCCACTCCGCCTGCCGTTGCACAAGTAAGTCACGCGTGGCCACATCCGATGCCTGGATGGCCCAGCCCGTGTTTACCGGGAAGGCTGCCGGAATGCGGCGCAGGTCAATACCGACTCTAGCGGCGATGTGGGTCCGGATTGCGTATCTTTCGTGGTTTCGGGCCGGAGCGTCAGCGTCAAGTCGGACGAGACACGGAGGTCTTCCTTCGGTGGGGCTACGGGCGGTCGTCCTGGCAGACGAGTGGTGGTCTGTGGTTTTCGCTGTGGTGGGGCGGAGGCTGTAAAGGCCAGCTGTCCTTGCTTCGGCTTGCCGGATGCGAGAACGCTGCTGTACGTGGGCTTCGGTGGTTCTTCGAGTTCGGCAAGCGATTGAGTCCAGAATTTGAGAAATTTGGTGGCGACTTGCTTGGCGATGCTGTTTTCGGTGCCAGACGTGAACTGCTTTGCTGCTTGTTCGAATGATTCGCTAAAGACCCGTAAGACTGCCAGCTTGGCGTTATGGGCTGCCGTTTTGTCGCGAGCAATTTTCGTGGCCGCTTCGAGGATTGAGACTGGCGCGTGCTCAGTGGGCTGGGCCGAGTCGAAGAGATTCGGGCTTCTTCCAGCTGCGCTCCTTCCGTGACGGCAGCTTCAGGCGTTTCGGTGGACGAGATTGACTGGGCCAGCTGCTGGGCCGCGGAAACGAGTCGTTTCGGCGAGCTTCCGTCGGGTAGCGAGGTCGGAGATGCGATATGTGAGCCGCCGGATTTGGCGGCGATCGTGCCTTGTCTCGAGGCATTGGAGTCGACATGCGAACCTGAGGCTGGTGCCATGGTCGCTGCCGGCGCTTGCGCGCGGCTCAATTGGTGTTTTGTCAAGAGCACTTGTTAAGCGAAAGTATGTGAGAATAGGCTACTTTCTTAACACTTGCGTGCCAAGAAAGTAAAAATACAAGGAAGGATGCAGAGGATTCCTCATGTATGTATGTATGTGTATTTTCCGTCCAGCGGCCGTGAGGCCGCTCAGGTCCCGGTGGGGCACAGGACGTGCTGAGCTAGTAGGCTGTCTACAGTCTCCTCTCGCAAACGTAAACAACCACCATCCAGCATTTCATCGGCTCTGAGGCGCTCCGTGTTGAACCTGGTGCCCGTCAGCGGGTCGTGCAGGCGCGGCGGTGAGATCGCCATTCAGTTTTGGTCTCCAAGGGACCGTTGTCGGAGACTGCAGAGCGCAGCCTCAGTTGGCCCGGCCGGGCAAAGGTGTTGCAGCACCTCTGCCTGGCCGAATCCGGGGATTTGAACAAAGGAAGAGGTGAGGAAAGGTGTGATGCAGCCGCCTAGTGGCGAGGGCAAGCCCATTCAAAGAAGGAGGACGCCTTCGCCAGCTTGACGAACCTGTCGAAGTCTCTGCCTATTGCGCGATTGACTGCTGCAGTAGGTGAGGGCGTCAGCCTCATCCGATGCCGCGGCTCGATCTTTCGGCAATAAAGACATGGTTTGGCTCTTTTCGTCGGCCACATGAGCACGTCAGTCGCGCATCGTCGTGGTTGAACCTCTCGTGGTAGTCGGCAAAGTCCCGTGACGGGTTCTGGCTGCAAGCAGGTGGTGGAGAAGCGGTCGGGGAGTTTGAGCTCAGGGGCAGCCGGTCGTCGGCTTAAGGTGCAGTGGCTTGTACTGTTCGGGTGCGGAGGCTTCCCACCAGGCTTTAAATGCACACAGGCTGCTGCCTGGCAGCCCTGCGCAGATATGCCAGTGTCGGGACAGCGCCTGCGGGCTCGGGTTGAGAGGTTCCTGCTTTCGCTAAGGCATCGGCCTGCTCGTTGCCTGGGATGCTGGTGTGGCCGGGGATCCAGCGGACCTCCGTGGCACCGTGTGCTGTGGCCAGGGCCTGGAACTCGAGGAAGACATCCTGGGAGGAGTCTGCCGGCATGCCTCTGAGGCATGTTGCCGCCGCGATGTTGTCGAGACAAACGACTACCCTCTGCGATCGTGGGAGGCTTAGGGCAGCGCGCAGGCCCTCGAGCGCGCCTTTCGCTTCCGCATCAAAAACCTCAGCGGGCCCAAGTCGGCCGCAGCCACTTAGGACGGTTTGCCCATCCAGATGGATGGCATAGCCATAACCGACCGCTGCATCCGAGGAGAGCGATCCGTCTGAGTAGACGACCAGAGTGTGTGGTGGCACTGACCGGAGCCAAATGCGGAAATCCGCTGCTGACTGGTCTTTCGGGGCGGTTTGCAGAGGCAGCGCCTGATCGTCGCCGAAGCGGCGAGGGAGGAGAATTGGCCGCCTGCTGCAAGGCAGCAGCTGGTCACTGCGTCGAAGTCGGGTCCGAAGCCTTCTCGCGGCACCTGGTACTTCAGTTTGATCGACCTGTGGATGACAGGGGCTTGGGCCGGACTGTACGTTTCGCAAGCGGATGGGCTTCATCGAGAGACTTGAGGCGGGCCGCGAAGCGCTGCGACGACATCGAGCAGTTGTATCACCGGTGGAATGCCGCTCTCTCGATGGAGGGCATTGATCGGCGTCGTCCTCCAAACAGGCAGGATGGCTCGGATGGATGTGTGAAGCGACTTGTTCATCTTTCGGATGAGTTGCTGTATCCCGGATGGTCCTTCTTTTGCTGGCTGGGTCCATCGCGGGCTGGTTAATCCGGGGTACCATGCCTCGGTGCCGTGGAGCAGCACCGGTTCGATACATGCTCTTACGGCTCTGCGAACGGCACCGGGAAGAGGACCATGTTTGGTGTTTGCCAGACTTTTCAAGTGATAGGCCACGACCTGTGCCTTGGCTGTCCACTTTTCCACGTGTGTCTTGAACGACAGGGTGCTGTCGAGCCAGATGCCTAGCCATCGCAGTGCTCGGTCAGGGCGCTTCTCTGAGTCGCCGTGAAATATAGGCGGGCAACTTTAGGTTTGCTTCGACAGAAATGCATGACCTCAGTCTTCATCGGGTCGAAGGCGATGCCGTTGGCGGCGCCCCAGGCCACAAGTTCGTTTACATAGCGCGACGCTCTCTCGGCTGTCTTCTCCAGGGAGTTACCTATGCATAGGATACCCGTGTCGTCTGCGTAGCCGAAGCGCCCCTTCGGCTTCCCTAGGCGGTAAATTGGTTCCGTGTACAACAGAAAAAGGATGGGCGAGACTGGTGATCCCTGGGAGGCCGCATTGAGAGGCGAGCTGGGCGTGGTAGTGTCCTGGTATCTGACGCGCGCCGAGCGGTCATGCATGAAAGAACCAGCCCATCGAGCGAGATGTTCTGGCCACCCCTGCTCACGGAGGCGAAGGATCAGCCTGTTGCGGAGGACAGTGTCGAAGGCTCCTGGATGTCCATAGTCACCAACGTGGCAACTTGTCCGCGGGCAAACGCCTCTTCAATGTCATGCAGCAGAGCGGCAACAAGGTCAACGGCAGATCTCTTCGGAGAGCGCCAGCTTGTTGTGAATGGAGGACTCCGTAGTGGACGGAGGCCCATGCCAGGCGGCGTGCGATGAGCCGCTCGAGACCTTTGCCTAGGCAGGACAGTAGGAGATGGGTCGCCAGGCACGAGGGTCGAGAGGTTCCTTCGGCCTGGTTTTGTTATCATGACTACTTCGGCCTCTCTGAACGGCTTCGGGTGATGGCCGATGGTGAGGCAGCCTTCGTACAGCCGCTGGACGTGGCTTCCGATAATATGCCATACCGCCTTGAGCATTTGTACCGTGATGCTGTCGGGGCCGGGAGACGTGTTTCCTGTCCGTAGGGTTGCGTCGCGCACTTCCTCAAGTGACGCCTGTTGCGTGAAGGAACGGTTTTCGTTGTGTCGACTGGGATCCACGGATCTGGGATGTCGTCGTCCGCCGTGCGCCGCTCGAGCGTCGCCCGCCGTAGGGCATTGGCTTTGTCAAGCTGCGTCTCGTAAACTACATCGCCTACTTGTAGGGGCGGAGGCTGGAAAGCGCCCGGTGATCTCAGCCATCGGACCGCTTTGAATATGGAGGCGCTGTCAGTGAAGCTGTCGATCAGATTGCGCCAGTAATGTCTTTTGGCTCGCCGCACGACTTTCTGGAAGTCTCTCTTTGCAAGCTGGACTTCCCGATTGAAGCCGAGAGGGTAGACTCTCCTAATCGCGCGGTATTCCGCCGCGGCGAGGGCGCATTCTTCTGTCCACCAGGGCGCGCTGCGTGCCCCTTTGCGGACGGGGCGACCGGCGGCCTTGGCTGCCAGTTGGAGAAGTTCCACGAGCGCCAACGCCAGGGAATCAAGCTCTTGGGAGACGAGGCCGCGGCCGGGATAGCTGTTGCTCCGGAATCGACCATTTCGGCGAAACGAGCGAGCTCGTCGTCAGAGGTGAGGCGGACCTTTCCTAGCGGCACCGAGGCCGGAGCCAGGTCAGCGAGTGTCACGCTGAGCGTGAAGTGGTCAGAGCTGGTGGCCAGGTGTTCCTCCACGACAGCTTCGGATAGTGGTATGTTGGAGAAGGCGAGGTCTATTGTGTTGCCATGTGGGTTCGTTGGCACATCGGCAGGGTTGAGCAAGCTAAGGCCGTTCTCAGAGGCCCAAAGGCGATGTCGTCACCTCGGCCATCGAGCCGGCCGGTTTGCCAGCTACTGTGTTTGGCGTTGAAGTCGCCTGCTACTAGGCACCTTCCTGGTGTGGTCCACTGGAGGAGCATCTCCAGTGCTTCATCGTAGTGCGGTTGTCGATAGAAGTTTACTACTGTTATGTTGTTGATGGTGAGCCAGAGAATGTCGCGGGTCGCCACAGGCCTCCTCTGATCTGTCATCAGGCAGGGACTCCGCCGGACATAGGTCATTACTCGAGGTCGGGTGCTGTTGTCGTCCCAGCTGTCGACTGGGAGAAGGTATCGTAGGCTGGGTGGGTTTTGGTAAGACATCGGCCGTCCTTGGCTTCCGTCCACGGCTCCTGGAGGAGCACTATGTCGTATCGTTCAGAGTCGGCGAGGCAAGGGCGCAGTCATGTGCTGGCGAGATCTTGCCTACGTTAGCTTGGAAGACTCGCAGGGTCTTCTTGTCGCTTTGGTTCACGCGGGGATGTCTCGTCATGGAGATAGTGCAATGGGGCTGATGCGTCGCTTCTTTGAAGGAAGCTGGTCTAGATTCGTTGCCCTCGCTCTGAGGCTGAGGTGTCGTGGTTACCATAATGAATGGCGGAGACATGGTCCTGGTCGAGCTTAGGACTGAGGTTTCGCTCCTGCCCCGTGACCTGTCATCTGGGTGCTCGGCTTCCTGGTCGTCGGGCTGAGCAGTGCTCGGAGCTATGGAATTGAGAATCTCGGAGAGTCTCGTTCTAGCTGTTCGGGTTGGTCTATGCGCTCGAACTGTTGCTTCCGCTGAGCAAATAGTTGGGTGCCCATCTGTCGGACGAGGGTTTCTCCTCCTTCGTCAGGCGGCGAATGACGCCGTGTGATCGCTTAGGGCGTGCAGGGCATTTCGAGAAATCTGCGGAATGGGGTCCGAGGCAGTTTGCGCACTGCTCGAGGGCTACGCAGGTTTCACCGTCATGGCCGTTCCTTCCGCAACGCTTGCAGGACGGTTGTCGGTCACAGCTGTGTCGAGCGTGGAAATCCAGCATTTGTTGCACTGGCTGGGCATGCTGGATCTGACGATGTGTCGGGCAAGTCGGCTGGAGCCAAAAGTCCAAGGTCTCTGGGTAGGCTCGAGGAAGGACACAATAAGCGTCTTACTCGGAAGGTCGCTTGAATCGTGCCGGCTGGGACGGATGCTGATGGGTGTGAGCCCGGTCTGGCAGGCGATTTCGTCTTTGACGGCCGCCTCGTAGTTGACTTCATTGCCCTGCAAGTCCGTAAGTCTTCGGGGCAGTTGGGCACGACGTACGTGTACCATTTGTGACTAATCTCCACCGAGGTCGCGTCTAGGTCCTCGGACCATTCCGACTGTCGCTGGACGATGAGGTCCCTGATGGTAGCGTCCGTTGTTCGGATGGCCCATCCGGGTTTACCTTGAAAGCTGCCGGGACCCGGTGCAAGTCGATGCCGACTTTGGCGGCGATGTGGGTCCAATTGCGTAGCTGCTGTGGTCTCGCGCCGGCGCTTCGGCATCGAGCCGCACGAAAACACGGAGGTCTTCTTTTGGTGGGGCGGGGATTGGTCGTCCCTGGAGACGGGAGATTGGTTGTTGTGGTCGTTGCTGTTGCGGGGCTGCGGCGGCCGTGGGAGTGTGGCCCCGAGGGCTGGCTTGCAGGGCGACCGGCGGCGACGCTGCTGTAGGTCGGGCGGGTGCGGAATTGAGGTCGGAGAGCGCCTGCTTCCAAAAGTCGAGGAAGCTGTTGGAAAATTGTTCCGCAAAGCTGTGTTCAAGGCCGGACGTGTATTGTTTGGCTGTCTGTTCGAATGATTCACAAAGGCTCGGAACACTGTCATTTTGGCGTTGTAGGCATTTGTTTGTTCAACTGCGAGCTTGTTGGCAGCTTCAACGATCGAGACCGGCTGGAGGTTAACGGACTCGGCCGAGCCAGGCCGGTTCGGGGTGGATTCACGCTGCGCTCCTTCCGTAGCGGCGGCATTGGAGAGTCTGATAAGGGCGAGGACGGCGTCGCCGCCGGTCGCCGAAACGCGGATGTGAGACCAATGGGACGGCTCGCAATGGGGGAACTGTGTCGAAGCTGAGATGCACGGGCTAATCGCGCGAGGTTGGGCGGGGTATGGACACCCAGATCAAAGGGATCTGGGCTGGCATGCGAGCTCGTGGCAGATGCCATGGCTGCTGCCGAAGCCAGCGCAAAGCGCGGCTGGAATGATTAACGTGCAGTTGTTAGGCGAGTTGGTGGGAAATTGCGCTACTTTCTTAACAATTGCATGCCAAGAAAGTAAGAAAACAGGGGAAGGTGTCTGCAGAGGATTCCTCATGAATGCGGCGAAAAGAGTGTAGGGTAACCAACGTTGCTTAGATTGTCACGGTATGTCACCCAAAAACATAATTCGGAAGCTAGGAATAGGTTGCGTGTAGAACTGAAAATGCAATAGCAGACCCAAATTACATTAGGGATATTTGAGTTGATTCTCATATGCCGTTCAATTCGTGCATTCCGCGGTGAGTTCGCTCCTTGGGTTGTTTGCCTGAGAAAAATATCTCCATCGTAGATGGATAACGTCGTAACTGCCACGGGTGTCATGAGCAATGACGTCATTTCTCGTATGGGCAATATATGGTTTATTTCACCATATGAGAACAAACCATACACCATAAACCATACGGGTCCGTATGGCGTATGGCGTATGGTTAGAAAGCCTGGCGTGTCGGTTGTAGGTGACTTTGAAATCTCATCTTGCGCACGTTTGTCGCCACGGCTCGCGCCTTTATATTGGGTCACGGTGTCTAGAGCCTCTGGTGTTGGCGATTCAGGACATAGAAGCCTGCCGAGAGCACGCAGTTGGCCAGTTTGTCCACGTGCAATCGACTCCGTATCCGTATACTCCTGGAACGTCGAGAGGGAGTCAGTCGACATGGCAGGCAGGAGGTTCTTTGTGGGATTCTGCCGTTCATTGGCCTTCTGAGAGTGCAAGAATACGAGAATGATGGGGGACCGAGGAAACGGGTGGACCGGTGCTTAAGTTTCTCTATCCTCCACGCGACTGCAAACGAGCTGTCCCAGATGAGCTTTTCCGTGACTCCTAATGTGGGCTCCAGCAAATCATCCCGTACGTTCTCTGCAGTGCAACTTTGGCCGCCCCATGGCATCTTTCGGCCAGCTGTCTTTTGCCCCTTATTCCTCCTTCGGGACAGTAGTCCGCTGTTGCTTGACTGATGCTTGTAAGCCACCTCCTGGAATGAATGTCTAATAGTCAGCCCCAGCTTGACCAGGACACCTCCAGCTTCTGCATGTACGCGCCGATCACATCCGAGGTTTCTTCAAATCCATCAGCACCCAACCTCCGAATAGGTACTAGGGCGAAGAGTGACTGGGCGGACCGCCTCGTCCGCATGACACGGACAAGCCCGCAGCTCTTCTGCAGCGGGGTTCAGGGGGTGAGCGTGACGCAGAATTCTGCCTGCTGATTTCTCTTCTCTCCGACTTGGCCCCAAGTGCCAACATGTATGCATATGCATGGGAAGGTCTGGAGGTGGCGAAGCTTTCAGCGTACGAAGCTTCATGGCAAAGAATAATTGCCCTCCTCGGCATCAGCCTTGGAAGAAGAAGGTAACCTCTGTAAGACCTGCGTGGAGTGAGCGGCTCCCAGGACCTGGTCCAACTGGCCAACCGACCAACCGACTTGCCACTCCCCTTGTTGGGGAACCTTGGTAAGGTGGCCTGAGGTCTATTCGCTTTGCTGGCTTGGACCCGTTACATGGGCTTTTGGCGATGCTTGCGCCCGTAGCAAGGATACAAGGAGAGCCTACTGGTTCGCCCCATAGGGTGGGAAATGCGAGATATTGCGATACTTCCAACCTCCTTTCAAGTAACTCGATTCATAAAAACATGCATTAACAGGCGCAGTCTACTTCCCGTTCAACACAGGGGCAGCCGGACACCCTGACCGTGGTTTATGGCCAGTGCGGTCAGGGGCATAAGTATGGTTCAGGGCCGCTATTTGTGATGCTGCTTGCACTTGGCCCCCATCGCATCTCTCCGCTTGTGAGCTGCCATCAAACTAGACTGATGGTGTGGATGTTTGCCTCTCCAGATCATATTGTGTTTCCCGGAGCTTCTACCCACTACTGTATATGATCTATTCGCAGCCTTGACCATACACTCGACCTTCTGGAAGACGATGTCGCAAACCGAATCTCCTCCTTTCGGCCCCTCCGCATGTTCGAAAGGTTCTTCGGCTACCAGGAACAGTCCGGTTTTCACTCCGATATCACCACAGCCGCTCAACGGCCCCATTTTCAGGACGATGGTAAGAATGACTTCGTGATTTATCATGACGACGGTTGGCGATTGGCTGAAGTGAAAGGAATAGGGTGACAGTCACTACTGCAGATGAGTCGAATACTGCAAGTGAGCGCAAGCCTGAGACGGCACGTATCCAAGAGACCATCAACCCCAACGTCGAGAATCTTCATCAAGCTGTTAGACGTGTTCCTGGAATATAATAAGAGTCTCTGCATCACGGACGAAGCTGGGAGGAAGTGACTTATTCGACATCTCACGAAGAGAGCTGGGCAGAGGGTGTAAAGGGGACAATTGGGACGGTAGGGATAGTTGGGGTGCAAAAGTGTTGATTCATTGTTGTTCTGTCTTGGATGGCCTCCTCCCTGTAGCGATGAAAATTGGCTGGGCATCTGCAGTGGCTTCCCCGAGGGATTCACAGTCACTTGCAAGGTGATATTTCGTCAGATGTTCCAAGTCTGCTGGAACCACTTTCATCGGTCCGTTTTACCATCTTGGGTTCAAAAAACACGCAAACAGTCGCTTTGGCCACTTCCTCCTTACGGCCACTAGTCTTGACATGTCACAGCGCCATGAACTTCCTGTGGAGTCGAAAGCGTATAGGGTGGTTGCCGACTCAAAGCGTGGTTATTTCCCTTCGAGTCTAGGCACGACGTGATGATTCAGATTGTAAAAAGCCAGGTCAGTCCTAGGCATCTTGCGCCTCGTCAACGTTGATGAAGCCGCGGCTCGGGCCACGCCTCGTCGCCAGTGCCGACGCTCCCTCCGCATGCATTGCGCCCCCTCGGCCTGCTCGTCTCGCCTCTACACACTTCCTTGGCCTCGAATGGGCGGGCGCGTTCCGGCCTCCCCCCTTGGCACCACGTCACGACAGTTGACCGCGCAGCCACGACGACTTCTAGCACTCTGCCATGGCGACGAAGCCTCTTCCGGCTCGCTCAGACACGCAGCTTCGGCCGCGCAAGAACAAGCCGACGAGTCGAATCGAGATAACGCTACGCTCCAAGCCGCGCGATTACGTCCCCGGCAGCGGCCCGCCGCTCCAGGGCATATGCCTCCCCTACATTGTCGAGGCATTCTGCTGCCCTCGCCGGGCCCGGCTGCCGACGGCAAGCCGCTGTCGAAAAGCATGACGAACGTTGTCGGATGGCACGACCTTCTCGCTGCCCGGCACCTGGTCCCTGCCATGAAGATCCTCGACTACGTTTCGCCGCGAGCCCTCAAGGAATGGGAGTCCAACATGGAGGCAGAGCTCGACGGGGACCGTAAGAAGCTGGCCCACGAAAAGCACGCGGGCGGCGAAGTAGGGCTGACCGCCCGCCCACACCGGCATTGAGTCGGCTGCCGTTGCTGAGCCCGGATGTGGGACCCCCGACGCGTATCAGAATGGGCGCAATGAGCCTAGGCGTCTACGTCGCACAGGACCAGGCTGGAAGGCTTTGACGGGCTTTCCAACGACGAGGGCGGAATCCCCTCTATGCAGATAGCTCGCGAGGCCCGCTGGTACATGGCCGACGACTTCGAAGTCGACGTTGTTGATGATGGCAAGCAGTCTGCGCTTGAATCGGAATGGGGCACTTGGGGGCTTGGCGCCATTGCGGTCAATGGCACGTTTAGAGGAGCGCATTAGCCAGCCTCGGCCCTGACGAGTCGACCCGCGCCACCTCAATTCGTCTTCTCCGGTACACAAACGCCCACGGGCTCTTGAAGTTGAATATCAAGCCTACCCAGGGCCATGCCGTGTAGAGTCACCCGCCCCGCCCGGGAGACTTCACTCGCGACCAGTTCTGATGACGACGGGGAGCATGCGTGGGTGGTCAAGCGACTCGAGAACATGGCTGTCTACGACGTCGAGGGACGCGGGCTGGTGCGCTACCTTCAGATGCGATGGGAAGGCAACTGGCCTCCGGATCGGAATCCGACATGGGAGTCGGAAGAGAACATTCCGTCAAAGATGGTGCGCAACTTTTGCAAGCAAGGCAAAAAGAGAAAAGGGGCCACTGCCGGTCATACAAGGACGCCCCGAGCACTCAATATGTCCTGGGCGCTGACATTCACTACAAGCCGGTCAGCGAAGCCTTGCCAACAAGGTTACCGACGATACATTAGGGTCGAACCATGGTGAAGATGGCGCCGATGACGATGTGCGCGACGCCGGCGTGACGTCAGCCTTCGGCCAAGAGGGCGACGACGAGGGTGAGCCGTTTATCATTGAAGAGGAACAGGTCCGTCCGGCCAAGGCGGCAAGGGCAATGAATGGACTGCTAACGCCGGCCTTGGGTTCCAGGCAGCGGCGTTCTCACCTGGCTTTCCAGTGGGACTTGCTCTTCTCGACGCCGACTGTCATTCGGGCCGTATCGTCGTTGCTTATGGGAGCCCGCTTCTTGTGAGCTGCCAAACGCGTTTCTGCAGCCACTCATTTTGGGAGCCAGGAGTTAGGTTACAGAACTGCGAGACCACACATATACCGGTATATGCAGCCATACAGAAGGGTCACAAGAGCTCCGAAACCTGCTGATTCGTGTGTCTATCCTCTGCAGCCTTTCGGGCAAGCTCCGCTACAACCTTACCATCTTCAACGCTTGGGGTAGGCTCTGGGGTGAGCAGGCGACTGGCGGGTCGTTTGTCCTTGTCGTTGGCATGCTGTGCAGCTGTATCAGAGTGTGCAATGTCGGCCATGTAAGTATCAGCAGGTCACTGCGGCGAATTGATCACTATCGAGTTAAGGCGTTGTCAATTTTGGCCGCTCTGATAGAAGAAGGACTTGCGCCCGAAAATGGCAGGTTGGTAACCTCGGCACATGACCCCAGAGAGCATGAGCCGGAGAGGGAGCGTGAGCCGGAGAGGGAGCGTGAGACGGAGAGGGAGCGTGAGACGGAGAGGGAGCGTGAGACGGAGAGGGAGCGTGAGACGGAGAGGGAACGTAAAGTGAAGGGACGTACCTTTAGGCGGGCACATGTAACTAACGGTGACGAAAAGCGTCTATCTCGACCTCATAGGCGTCAAGAACCTCCTGCGCAGTTTTACACAGCGCCATGCAGAGCTCGGTAGCACTCAGGCGCACATCGGCTGGCCTGTTAAACGTTCGTTCTTATCACCAACGGCGGCCAACGGCTGATGCGCAGTAAGTACGAAGTTACCACTAACCGCTAAGCGCCGGCTCGCAAGGCGCCGGTAACGACGACACGCGGTTGTCAGTAATCGCTCGGCTGCGAGTTTCTGTCAACCAGGGGCCGCCAGTAACCTACGGGCGTCGGTTGTCGGTACCTCAAAGGGACTGGTAACCTCCGGGCGCTTAGCCATACGCTGCTAGTAACACCCATGAGCGAGGTGCCAGTAATCGTTGTGGAGCAGGGTTCGGTCACCAGTAACTAGTGTGACGTTGGGCGTCTAGTTACTAGTAACAGGAGACCGGTCCCCCATGGGGCCCGCCAATGCCTTTTGGGAACGAGCTTGCATGTTTCTAGTAACCGCTCGGGCGCTCCATCCACTGAAAAAAAGCCACCAACAATAAGGGGCTGTCACGGACCTGAGCGCCAAGGGGGTCACGCGCGCCATCACGTGACATCGCTACTTTTGTCCTTCGCGCGATGAAGCCACATTATGTCTTTCTCTTGCTTCCTTGCGCTACGTCTTGTATCTAGAACCGACGTATTCTGCTTCTTCAACAAAACCTTGTCTTGGAGAACATTACTCAGCTTGATCTCGATACGAAACCCTCACAGGGGCCATGGAGAGTGCTAGGACTGGGGCCAAGGAAATTTTAGAGCCTCGCATAATTAACACCTATAGGCGTAGTCGTATTCTGAAGTGAAGAGGAGAAAGCCAGGCTACTATTTTTGCAAACTTCATTCCGTAGACATGTTACATAGGAATTCGGTTTACGCCATCCACCTTCTATAGAGTAGGATACTGTCGATGGACTGTTATTCTGGTACTCGTGAGGTAGGGGAGCACAAGAAGGGATAAAGATGCATGATCTAGCTAGAAAGAAGCGGCCACAGGGCCCTATTTATGCCGTAGTCAGAGGGACCCTCAGGTGACTTACATAGGCACCAAACTGGCCCCATACGTGAGGTCTTTATGGGTCCCCGATACATGGTCTCATAATGATCCTTCAGGTGGCCCTCCCTTGATCCTTCAGGTGACCTACTAACAGCGGTGCCTATACTAGCCAACAGATACTGCCTGCTTCTCTGATGCCATATACGGACTAGGTTAAGTTTCTAGCTAAGACTTGAAGGAAATTTTATAACGGTTGAAGATGTCGTACTTGTGAACCTTAGCTAAATGACTCTGAAAGCTGTTCATGTCGCCAAAGGAAATATTTTTCAATTTGCAATTTGGCTCTGGACACGTTACAGACCGCACGTCGAGGCCTTGTAGATGCTGGGAGACGAGATGATCTCTTGCTCTGTAGGCAGAAAAATACTTGTAAGACCTTTTGGTCCGAGGCGCCGTCTCATCCCAAAAACACATAAAGCACTGGTCCCTGCCACATGTTTTCGGAAAGTCGACTGCAACGTCTTTGACTACCATCTTTGGCGGGCGAGACTCGATTTTCCTTCCTAGCGTAACCATCGCGTGTGTCGTATAGAGCCGGTGTTTCAATCTCGTCTCGTCATCGAGTTCCGTCGTATTGGCGCAAATAAGTTCGGCTAAAAGTCTTCTTTCTTCCAAGCTGTAGGATTGCTGAGGTTGCCAAGATCCTGGCTTCAAGTCTAGGAAAGAGTGGCTCTCGTCCTTGAGTTGGGCATTGATCTCTATGGTATGGATTGCATCGAAGAACTCGTCTCTTGTGTTGACTTTGGCCAGTTTCCGTAGGTACGACCTTGTCGATCGCACTTTGTTCTCTACGGTGCGATACATCTCGAACAGCCGTGTGCCAGCTTCCTCGGCCTCCTTGATTGTTCCTGACTCGCGACGGACCTCCTTACTGAGAGAATCGCGAAGACCGATGAGACTGACAAGCGTGGGATTCGTCTTAATCTTCCTTAGCTCGATGGCACTGGCGTCGGTTGGTGCCCTGGGATCAGCATGCCGGCTCATGTGGCCGGCCGCTTTTAACAATGCCTTATTTGAGGGGCGTCCCAGGAACGCCGCTACCGTGTCACACTGAACTCTCTGATTGATGTAGGCTTGGTAAGTCGCCGCGTTGATGTGGCACATGACTTGCTGTAGTTGTGCTTGCGTTGCGGTGCCTAGAAAGGTCAGCGAATGAAGCCACACACTGACCTGATTACGTACTTTCAACCGCTTCTCCTGACCCTCGGCGAATGCAGTACGGATTCAGGATCTGCATGAAGCCTGTTACGAGCCCCAGTCTCTGCAAATAGTAGAGATAGGTATGGTAACGGAGCGCTTCGGTTTTAGACGTGCGGACTGCTCCATCGTTCGTTGATACAGCTTGCCGAAATATCGGTATGTCTCTCATGCCCTTCCGCCAACGAAACTCCAAAGAGTGTCGTGGGGATGGGACTCTGATTCGATAGAAGTCGTCCACTTTCTGGATGTTCGCTTCGAATGCTTGGTCGAGAAGTGCAAGGGCCAAAAGATGAAGCACAGCATCAAACAACAAGTCGTCGACCTCGTAGAAGATGAAGGTTTTTCTGGGAACCCGGTGTGAGCCAGGGTCAGTACAAGTGCTGAGGAGTCACTCACGGGTTTTCTCTTCGTTCCCATCCTTTTGTGTACCTAAGCGTCACCTCCATAGCTGGAAGATCCCTTCCTCCCTCCGGGTTTTTGAGGAGGAGCAGCTGGACATCCCTGTAGCAAATTGTCTTGAAATCATCATCTTTTGGGTCAAATTCATCCGCACAGTCCACCTGAGTCGCTTCATCTTCACAGCCGAAGTAGTGGTCGTTGACGGCGTTCTTGTCGAGTCGCTTGTAGGCGAGTACTCTGGGCCGTGTGGCTGTATACGCTTGGAGCAAAACCAGGAAGGCTAACTGTATGCGCTGGCGCTCATCAGGGAAAACTGAAGTGTCATGGACCCAATGATGATGCTGCACAAGATACACGTCGTCGACGCCCATTACGGGCTTCTCGTTCACCGACGTGTCGAGCTTGTAACGAATAGTTAAATACCCGTTGATATACTATCGAGCAGTGAGCTAATCGTGCAACACATAAACTTCCACGATTGAGACAAAACTCACGTCATTGATCTCTTCGTTCGCCTGCTTGCTGAAATCAGCTCCAACAGACTTCCGGTACACCTGGAAAAAAATTCTTTTGTAGGCATGCACAGTGCTTCTCTTGCGAATCCTTCGATGCGAGTCGAGCATCCACTCCAAAAATGTCATGATATCTTCCTTTGTCGATTCTGCAAGATGATCAAGCGGATCGACTGACAGGTGTACGCAGTGTCTAGTCTCATTAGCCTGCTGCTTGAATACAACAGAAAAGGTGGCTCACCTTGTCCATTTCTGTTTCACTCCATGCATGTTGACTTTCGTTGTCTCGGCGTGCCGCTTTTTGACAGCCCTGTGGACAGGCTCTTCACTGCAGTGAGGTTATTCGAACTGGTTCAATTGGTTATATCTTGTGTAACTAGGGAAACGTGTCCCATACAAACTGTGTGCAAAGACCTTCCTCCCTGTGTCTCACCTCTTACTCGCACGTGACTAGCGCGGTCGATTAGTTATACGTGCGCGATCGGTGCCTAGTGCACAGGTGGATCCAACACTGGAACCTCTTTCTAAATCGATGATCGCGCACTAATCAATCCACCAAAACACACCAAACACAGCGAATTAAGATGAGATAGGAAAAACACGAACAAGAACACCAACAAACTCCTACCACGATGCATCACTATGTTGGATAGTGTGCTCTGACTGTAGCTCTCCTCCCCACACTGGGTGTGTTCTGCCACACGCCATCATGGGCCGCATTTCGAGCGCCGGATGCGCTAGCTGATTCCATCGGTCCCACGTTGGAATATGGACACGAGGATCTCCTCGTTAATGTGAATGGAATAAAAGAACGACGGTAAAGCAGAAGAAGGAACGAAAAACCGATTAAATCTCGTCGAGAATTGTTGTGTTATTGCGATGAACGAATCCTTCCACCCTCACGTTTAGCTGATTGTCGCTAATAAACTGCGTGAGGGCGCTGTTTGGTGATGCCTTCGTCATAGCATCGGCAGGGTTATCTGCGCCGTTGACCCAACGGATTTCCGCAATATCCCTTGATTCATATGCCTGCCTCAGCGCCATGATATCTATCATGAGTCGCTTCTCTGTTGTGGTGCCAAGTTTGACGAGGCACTCATAGAGGCTATATGAATCTGTGCAAATGACGAGCGGGATTTGCTTCAGATCAAGGCGTTGTGCGATCGTATTGACCGTTTGCTTGATCACAAATGCGAGATCGAAGCCCGATGTCAATCCATAGATCTCTGATGCAAGAACGCTTCGAGTAACGCGCTTGCATTTAGTTGAGCTCAATGAAGAATGTTTCCGCGGATGGAAAATGAATCGGTTGATTGCGCGGTCTCATTGGCGATGATAATCACAAAGCCGATTTGAGAGCTTAAATCCTTATTGTTGGCGAATGATCCATCGGTGAACACAAAGATCTTCGCGCTCTCGAGATCGATGGGTATGTAACATAGGCCACGGTCGGGATTGTTGATCTGCCATTCAATCCGCTTGTTCAAAGCCTTGAAGTCGGTATTAACGGGCTCTTGGGCTTGTGCCGCAACGGAACAATCGTATGTTGCTTCGGGTTGGCAAATCGAAGCGATATATGCCCCCGGCGCGTTGAGCAGCATAATCCTGATGCCTACTTGATGCCTGAAGATTGATCTCCTCGAGGTTTTGGGCTTGGCCCTTCTGCCTGACGATGACACAGCCATTTTGTATGGTCAGGCGGCTGCCGTTAAAGTCGCAGATGGAACCTTCTTGGAGAATCTCTTTTGGCTTGGCCTTAAAGCAGAGTTCTTTCTCCTCGATCTTGAGAAATGCATCTGTGCCAACAATGAATGTGTCATCCGTTTGCAAGGCCGCGATGCCAAACAGGTCCTTGTCGGCGATGTTGTTTGCCGTGATCAGAAGGCACGGGTCAAACGAAGAGGTTTCCATATTAAGCTTGCGGCAGTGATGGTCGTGATATGTGTTGAACCAGTGGGCTCCTGCCTCTGCGATGCCATATAGCGGCTTCACGATTCGCAGGATTGTTCCTCTGGATATCTTCTTTTGAGTTCTTGAGGAAGGGCTGCAAGGATGACACGGGCCAGCTTGGTCTGGGATTGTGTGTATGCCATCGTGATGTCTCTGATCATGATGAACATATCCCGTGTGCAGAGAAACGGTGCTAAGGCCAAGGCCACGCGTTGTGCGGGCCGGCTGATGGTAGGGGCTTGTGTGAGGATCCACGTTTCCCATCATCATTGTATCCTTGCACAACGAGGCGTGATTTCTCGTATGGCGTTGCAGTATTTCTTCCTTAACCTCTCTGACCATTCGTGATTTGAAGACACGATATCCACCATGTTTATTCGCATCGAATTCTTCGGGTACAATGACCCCAGCGGCGAGGAGGTTCGTGAGCTCGAGTGTGTCGGAAGCTTCAAATGGGAAACCGGTGCTTGTGATCTTTCCTTCAGCTCGTAGCCGCTTGGCTAGGCCGAGATGTTCCATTTCTTTTCGAACAAGAAACGCATTAGCTTCATGATGAACGATAAATTGAACGGGTGAGCAAACAATAGTGGATTCTGATGTGCCATTTTGTGCAGCATCCTTCCTAGGTCGGCCACGCCTGCGCGGCCTCTTTGGCTCAGGGTATTCGAAAGGTTTGGGTTGGTCTTCTGTGGTAGGAAGAGGAAGAGGTTGTTGAGTTGTGGGTGGAAGGGAAGAGGGTTTTGAAGAGGATGTTGTTGATCGGATTGTGTTGAGGAAGGAGTGATTGTTGTGTTGATGGGTCTGTGCGGCTAGGGCTAGGGTCGGGTTGCAACTGAGGAAGGAGCGATTCCGGGTGACGATAGTACGGTTGGACGCATGTACTGCGAAATTTCGCTGGTCCGTTGTCCAGGTCAACTGCGATTTCCGTATCCGTCACCTCGAGCACTTTATATGGGCCTTGCCATCCGTGCTTCTCGCGAAATACGCGAACTTCGCTTCCTAGCGCCAGGGATAGGGGCAGGCGCAACGCTGTATCAGGCCCATTACGCGTATTTAACGCGGTCTGAACCTTCCTCTGGGCGTTGATCTTCCTCAGCTCTGACATCGTTCGCCACACCGCCTTAGCTCTTGCCATTGCGGAAGGTGTAGGCGGCGAATCCATCGTCATTCGAGGCAGAGCACCGAAGACGAGGAGGGTTGGAACGAGGCCATCCGGACCGGCTGTGTCGTTGACAGCCTTGAAAGCCATTTGAAGGACTTGATCAGGGCTCACGGTATCCTTCAGCTCTGCCTTTAATATATCATATGCTCTTCGGACGGGCACATGATACTTCTCAACCTTCCCAACAGCCCAATGTGCTTCCACAGGCACCTGATGACACGTTATTCCCATCAATTTCGCTTCTGCTTGGAACTCGGCAGCAGCGAAATTCGTGCCTGCGTCATGAGTGATCACATCGGGTGGTCCAAGGTATGTATCCATCCAACATTGTTTCAACGCGAGCCACGTTTCCTTGGCCGTCATGTTGGATAGGAATCTCCTGCCTGATAGGCAGTGGCTTGATCAACAACATGGAGGACTGGTCTGCCACCCAATGTCATGACATCAACGATGACTTCGTAATTGAAGTCACAATCATCCTTCAAGCTGAACTTGAACCTTCGTGGCGGGTCGGATTTCATCTGACAGTAGTGGCAGAACTTCTTGATCATTTCCAGAGCTTCGATTTCCACATCATGGCCAGCCGAATTCAGCAGCTTGTGCAGCCGATACACGGATGGATGACCAAAACGCGTGTGGAGGCGCCGCAATTCAGCCTCCGTGAGATATGCCACTGATGCCTCTTGTTTCCGCAAGAAGAACCACGCGTGACCCCATCTTCGAATCACTGGAACGCTCACACCATTGCCAACGAGCTCGTTCGTGACGTTATTTAAATATACGCCGAGCCGATCCATATCAGCTAGGCATAGGAGGAATGGCGTTGGCACGTTGACTATATGAAAATCAACCTCTCCCACTGGTGTGTTCAAGGTGATCACGCCAAGTGGTGTTTCAATCTTCCTGCACCAAATCTAACTGGTTCGGGCTTGCGATCATCACGGAATTGGACTGGGGCATCTCTCGTTGGAGAGCACGCAGTTGTTCGATTCCTCCGTCGATATGCATGCCGCACCTGTGTCCGGCATGATTCCTTGGAACGAGTCTTGAGAGTAACGATCTAGTATGAATTGTGTGGGTTCGTCACTGTTGAATAACTTGATGCCTACTGGAGAGATCCGATGATGGAAAGCTTCGTTGGACAGAAGGTCGCAGCAGCGTAGAACGATTCATAAGGGTCAGAGGAGTCAGAATCATCGGATTCCTCGGTTCTCGAGTCATCCTGATCCTGTGATTCCCCTTCATAGTCAGCCAAGAACATAGCATACGAACGAGATTGACCGTGGAAGCTCTCTCTCGTAGATACTTCTCTTTGGCTGCTTTTCTCTCGTTTTCAGGATGTCTCGTTGAGAAACAACCTTCCTTGCCGCAAACGTAGCATTTCTTCTTCCAATTTGGCTGACGCCTTTGTGATTGACCTCTTGTTCCGCCGGAATTTCGCTGAAATTTGCGATCCACGAAGTGCTGATCATGTCCTCTATCCAGGTCTTGGGGATATTGGCCACTGGGTTGTTCAGATCGTTCATCTTGCATGGCAGATAGCGATGATCGAAGCTGTGATGCCAATCCCTCAAATGTAGGTGCGGGAGAGTATATCGCGAGTCGGAATTCAGGCACACCACGGCACGCCCTGAGCGTTGCATCGATCAGGCCACCTTCGCCGCCAGACTTATCCCGAGTGCTCTCCTACAGAGCCGCAATTTCGTAAGAAGGGCCTGGAGGACCTCGTCAGATGACTTACCGGGCATCTCAGCCCGAAGTCGGCTGAAGGTGAGGGTGCTCCAGTGGGTATGATACATCTTCTGGTTGATTTCGGTGTCAAAGTGCTCTTTCATCTTCTGATACATCTCAGCGAAGGTTAAATCAGTGCTGATTTCGTGTAGAAAGAAGGACTGAGCTTCCTTGGCCAGAATCGAAGGGAAAACACCATGGAATTTAGACGGAGGAATGTTTGCTTGACGGCACACGCTCATGAATTTCCGGATCTTGTCATCGAAGATATCGTATGGTTCGCCGGTATAGGCTAGTTTCTTGTCCCATATCTTAATGAATCTAATCGTGAGATCGGCCTCAACTTCCTCGTTCTCGAATCGAACAGGTGGAATGCTCGTGTATGCATCTCGGAAGTTGGTAGTCCGTACGGGAGCGTCTGCTGATACCGAGGGATTCGCGCCATTGATGCTGAGGCTCTTGCTGAGCGGGTTGATGGGTCTCAATGATCTGAGGGATTCCGGTTCCGCCGGTCGGGTAATAGTTGGCTGCTGGATTACTACCGGTGCCGGTGACGATATAGCCGCTTTAACAGTTCCTTGGAGCAGCTTCTGTTTCACCTTATATGCCACGGTGTTTTCAGCAACCTCTTGACCAAGCAACTCGTTCTCATCCCATTCAGGAAGTTCGTTACTTGTTAGAAGGCCACATAAAGCTCGAGAGATGCTAGAGTTGGCCTTGCCCATATAGATCCCTAATTCTGAGAAGCGTCCGGAGTCTTGATCTAAGGCGTGGGTTGATTAGTTCGAAGTCATCATAGCTCCATCCCGTGAAGTCGTTATACAGATCCCCAAGCAGGGCAATTCCGTGGTTACGTTTATCCACCGTGTATGTTGCCACACAGCCTAAGAAGAAGCTGTTGCGGTGGACAAGGAGGAGCTCTGGGTGATAGGTTCGTTGAGGAAATCCGCGTCGAAATGCCTGATCGGGAGTGAAGGAGCTCCACGATCGTCAGGTTCCGTTCAACGAGTTGCCTGTCTTCGAGAGACACGTTGGCCGGGGTATCCTGGGCTGTTGCCGGGGCTAGTGCGGCAGATGAATTGTCAGACATATTGACAGGCTGTGTGCTGAGAAACAGGGCACAGGGTGTCAATGAGGTTATCAATGTGCGATAGGGCACGCCTAAGGGTCGCTGATGACAGCAAAGCTTAGGCACGGTTGGATAACTAGAGTGGGCTCTGATGCAGAGTCTTCGTAGCAATCCGCGCGTTGTAGCAACTATCCTACCGTCAGGAGCTCGCTTTGCAGAGCGTGACGATAGGTTAGCTCTCTTCCGTCTTGCTGTTCTGTGTCACCTTTGCCGGGCGACACTGATCAGTGTGGACAGGCTCTTCACTGCAGTGAGGTTATTCGAACTGGTTCAATTGGTTATATCTTGTGTAACTAGGGAAACGTGTCCCATACAAACTGTGTGCAAAGACCTTCCTCCCTGTGTCTCACCTCTTACTCGCACGTGACTAGCGCGGTCGATTAGTTATACGTGCGCGATCGGTGCCTAGTGCACAGGTGGATCCAACAAGCCCCATGTTTTTGGAGTCGCTCGCGCTTCGACCGGTAGTAGGCTGGGGAGTGCTGAGCTCGCGGTGAGCTTTTTGGTACCGCCATGCTTTGCTCTCATGTATCCTGATCTTCCGGGGATTTGAGCAAAAATTCGTGGCCGAACGGCATGTTATCTGTCAATTAATACATTCTGACGCTGTTAAAATTAGCACACTGGCGGTTTGATTAGGGGGTCGACGCGGCCGGGGATGGCGGGGCACCTCGGAGCTACAGCGGAGGGGTGGGGACAAATAGCACACGCCCCGCCACCGGCGCTTCGCAAAATGTCCTCCGAAAAGAGCAGCCCATCCTCCAGAAATGGAAGCTTTTCCTCCAAAAATGGAAGCACATTTGCGGTGAACCTACACTTTTGTCGTAATTTCTAGCTCAACATATGCCGGGTCACCAGACGGTTAGAGGTCAACAACGTCTACGCGATGATCAAGTACTCGGAGGTTGCCTGTTTCTTAGTAGGGTAGAGACTTTCAAAAACTAGAACAGAAATAGGCCAAGGTCAATCGCGAGGGCCACCATTTGCCCCCTTTCCCCTCTGCAGTACCTCGTCCTGGAGATGGTCTGGCAAGGGTGGCCTTGATTGAGTGTTTGCCGCTTCTACCTGGCAGGAAGTTGTGCCGATAACGTTCGTCCACTCTGGTAGCTGGTTCTGCACATGAATGCTTTCAAGCGTATCCAGCTCGTCTTGAATTAACATGGAAGGTGACAGGAAAGACTTGGGGACTGCCGTCATCCAGTCTTTGGATGACGATGGAAAACTGTCATCTTGAGCCTCAGTCGTAGACGCTGAATCGTTATTCCCAACCATTTGCCAGCCATTGCCATCGCCACGCTGGCTACTTGATTCCGCGTCGTGAGGCATATCGTCATGGATCTGGTCGATCCCTTCAGAGGAGTTCTCGTCCGTGTTGAAACCATCGGCTTCGGGCTCGACTGGAGCCTGGATAGCGTTATCTACAGAGTCGGGCGTCAAACTGTCCCTGTCATCCAGCGAAGCCGAGTCCTCGCTGGCCTGGAACTGCACAGGCATTAGAGGCCAACCTCCCATTTCACTCCAGCTCGACGATAAGCCGAAGAAACCGCAACTCGAATCGCAGATGTTAACCTACAACTCGGTTCAAATCGGGTAGTTCCAGGCCTCGGGGCACATGGCTTTTTACCATCCACTTATGATGAGTTGGCTCCCAGTAGAAAGCCCCCGCGATAATGTCCGCCTTTCGCCCGACGTCGTAGCCCTTGTTTAACAGACTGGGCCCTCTCTTGCGAGCTGCCTCTTTCTGTTTTCTGTTATGTCTTTTGCGAGCCATTTCTTTTAATCGCGTGAACTTTGAGCTGTTCCAGTGAGATTCTTGTGATGCAGCCTGATATGGGCGCAATCGGCTTCCTAGAATTCAGGTCATCCTCTTTGCCGAGGAAAAGGAGATGTGAATCTTCGAGAGGTCGTAGGTAGTGCAGCAACCTTCACGGCTCGTCTCGTGGTGGCGGAGGTAAGGAGCAAAACATCAAAGCATTTAGAGACAATCAATTTAATGCTCGCTTTGCCGCATTTCTAGCCAACATGAGTGTCCTCGTCGCATTTGACCATCAAGCGGGACCAAAATAGGCTGCGTCACACCATCCACACCATCACACCTGGCAAGCTAGCGCGCGCTCAGTCCTCTTCACACCACCTTACCCAGGCATGATGCACCATCTAGCAAGGATTCTGAGGCATCGCTTCGCAAGCCACCACACCCGTCCCAAACCCTTTCCTCCTTCACACCCTCTGCCGAAGATGGCTGCCACACTCGAACGATCGAGGTTATGTCGACAAACAAGACAGTGGGAGCGCATTCTGGCTCATGCGTGGCTGGAGCGTGCTTCGGCAGCTTCAAGTGGTGTGAAGCATGAGCGCGGATTGGATGCGTATGGCGGCTTGCGGAGCACAGCCTGCCCTTGTCAGTACGTACCGCTCCTCTTGCCGGCATAGTGCGAGAGCAGTCAGGAGCATGTTTTGGCCGCTCTGGGTGGCACGTAGGAGAATCGCATTTTTTCGAGCGGGTGAGCGGTTACAGAGCTTTCTTGTCCAAATGTCTAATTGCGCCTACACGAGCATCAGGCTTTCGACAATGCAGCAAATCCAAGACTGAGCTTCTTGGTGGCGAATAGTTCTTCTATTTTCACACTCTTCAGTACAAAAACAAAGGACGAGCAGATCGCGTGCCCTCGTTGGGCAGTATCAAAGTCCATGGCCCCACTTTTGGCTTTTTCTTGCCCTCTGCCGCTCTTTTCTTTCTTACATACCACATTTGCTTCGAATTTGCCATGTCAGAATCGCGTCGAACTCAATTACCTATGTTAGGCACTAGCGGTGTCAACCTCCCCCCCCAGCAATCAGGAAATTTTGCCTTGCAACAAACTGCCAACCTTCCTCCGCAACAGCCGTCTAATTGGCAACTTCAGGTACCTTACAGCTATTCTCAACAGCATATTCCGTACATGTCGCAGCAGCAACCGATTTTTCCTATTCAACAGCCTTCCAATTGGCCATACCAGACATACCAAACTCACCAGCCTCCTTCATTCGACCCGAATCCAAACCCTAGCTTTCAGTAATCTCTCGTCTTCTCCTGCAATTCTCTTTCATCACTAACAACTACATGAAAGGCACCAAGCCTTGAATTGTCTTAGCCGACCTCATGGCCCGACAGACCCTCTGCTTGGTCCTCAAGATGACCCGCAAGAGGAGCCTCGAGACAACTATCGAGAAGCCAAGATGGCTAGTCAAACCCAGGGCAAACCACCGGGTCCTGCTCCAACGACTGGACATTCACGCCGCGATAAGGCCGGGCTTCCAAGTATGAGACAATCCGCACATGCCGGCCCACAGCGAGGGCGATCCAGGTCCCCGTCTCACGAAGTAGAAGAAGATTCGGTTCACCAAGAAAATCCAAATATAATTACTCGGAGGCAACGAACAAGGTACCAGACGCGAAACAGTGAAGCTGCTGGAGCATTGGAGCCGCAATCCGATCAGATGTAAGCAAACTCGCGCAGTCGACTAAAATAGCTGTGCCATGGCTTATCACATCCAGATCGAGGCTCCTCCAGAGTATTCACGATACGCTAAAGTCTCAACACGAGGATTATATGACAAAGTTCGCCGAGCTTCGAGAAAAGCAAATTGAGTTTGGGGAACATAACCGGTCGGTAAGAGACTAGTAAGGTTGAAAGAGCACATCCGATTGAGACATGGCTGACTTCTCGGATAGTGCAAGTGCCATGAAAGAAGGGTAAGCCATTACTGTTGCTTCTCATCAATGCTTCGATCGCAGCCTGACTGATGGTTTCTGAAGCTTTGAAGCTCTGAAAAAGACGTGCGAATCCCACTACCTTCCACTACATGCAAATTTTAGATATCTAAACGTCGTGGTAGATTCCGAGACCACCCAGAGAAATTTCGCGAGGCGTTGAATATAATTCAAGAGCCGGTTGCGGAAGAGGCACAAATATCTGCTCGGTCGTCTGACTTGGCGAATTATCCTTTTCCTCAAATCTAAATGACTTGAGTGGACGCAACTGCGAAGATAAGGTGTTCCGTCGAGTAGATATCAGATGGCATCAAATTAATGAAGCGCGGAAGTTTCGGGGGGCAGTTACCGTATAAATCCAAAGTTTCCCTTGCCGGTATACAACATCTGCTTTAGGTCACAAAAGAGAAAGAGAAAGCTTCATTTATCCGTGGTACAACATCTCTATAGTAATCAACCATCGCTGTTTCCCCACATATCAGTCTGCAGACTTCACCATGTACCTATGATGACCCATTTGGCGCATTTTAGTCTCAATGAAAAATTGAACTTTCCCGGATGACCCGACACCAGTACCGTTCGTCTCCTTTAGCTAAGCGGCTCCTCGAGGTAATATTAACACCGGTGAAGTGTTCAAATCATCAAAGCCCTTAATACTCTAGAAGAGTGGAGTTTAATTGGGTGATGCCGATCGTGATTCTAAGGCGCAAAGAAAAGGTTCCAGCAAAGAGATACGGGTGCAGCTGTGCAAACTCATTGAGTTGATGAGCTAAATTAGACTCAAGAACATACCAACGAACAATCGTGCGTAAACGTGTCTAGTATAAATGCAAGATCACCGTTATAGTGATCCACCATATCATCAGTACGGAGAAAGCAAGATTATGTTGTGCAAACGCAGTGACAACTGGTGAAACGGGTGGTGCCATCGTCCAACCATGAGTAGAGTTGTCGGGTAAGGTAGATTGACCGCTGCCTGCTGTACGAGTCCAATTCTCTACTCGATGTATGCTCGAACCAAGAGATGGAATAGATGTTGACGTCCCGGAGAGTCCCAGTATAGCATTTGAAGATGGGATCGAGAAATTGCAGCATTTCCCCGTCATTGCCAGGTGGATTGGACAACTAGAGGCAAGCTCTATTTCAGTTTGGGAATGCCCAGTAGATCTCTTCTCTGTTGCGTTCATGATATAAGAATGATTGTGCGAGCACAAGTAGTTTGAGCGGAGACACCTTTTGTAAAGTTTTATCTAGGTATTCCAAGCGCCAGGTATTGCTTTCTCGGGAAGATTTTGGAGGCTCCATGAATCATTCAGGCTGCTCCCCTCAGGAGCGGATTTTAGCTGGCAGGAAATATGCAAGAGTAACCACACATCGGCTAATTTTCTCTTTCTTAGCCAACATCCGCCGGCTGAATTCAGAGCTGCGATTTGTTACAATTATACGCTCTTTTTTTATTTCATATCTTGCAATGGCGCAATACTCTCGTTTAAGCCCGCGTCGAGGAGACTTTGTCAAGGTCCCATGGTCAGCAAATGTCACTATCGTTGAACTCATTCAACAATTTCGAACTGCTCTTTCAACATTGTACGGCGTGAGAGTCGAAAACCGCGATGAACGGGGTTGGTTGTGTGGAGCACACAAGTTGCTTTGGATCTATGACGATGGTCAAACTTTCCAACTGTGGCAAGACTTTCAACAATGTCCACGAGACGCATACTGTGCTGTAGACGATCAGATTGAGCGTGTTCTCGGGCATTACGAGATGGATGGAGGCGAAGTATATTACGCCATAAAGTGGAGAAATCACGACGGCCCTACTTGGGAGCCAGAGGATCAATTGTCAAATTATAACACTCTTCTGACACGATATTGCCTCTGTTTAGACGATAATGCTCGTGAAAGTAAAATAGATCATTAGAGGTCAAATTGAGGGCTGCTACACATTTTCTTCCTTCTGAAATCCGAGCTATCTAGGCTGGGAAGCTTTCTAAATGCTGCAAATTCCCTTCCACCGCCACAGCACCTCCCACGTAGGCACACCCCTTTCAGCCGACTGTCCGTTTTGTACGCCCTGAAATACAATTTTCGAATGAATGTTTGCTACCGCGAGGCACTGGCAGACCTCACACCCATTCGGCGGACGAAATAAGGAGTTCTAGTTCCAGTCGTGGTGGGAGGCTAAGGGATGGTATCACTGCAGTCGGCCAATGCGTTGTTCGGCACGTCCTATTCACCGGGTAGCCCCTGCGTAACATTCACCCCGGACTACCGTAGCTACATAGATGACACTCTCACTTCAATGCTCCTTCCAGGGCACTTGAACGCGATCGAACTGTCAAGCTTGAAGATGGTTGACATCTGACTTGAACATCTGTATGCGTTTCGGCCTGAAACAAACCTCCCCTTGCCGTGCGAGGCCTGTCGAGAAGACACGTTAACGAGCGAGCCCTGAATGAAGCCACTCCTGATGTCGCATTCAAGATGCGTATGATGAAATATGCGATTGTTAAGCAACGCCATGGAACTTTCTAGATAACATTACAAAAGCACCCTGGGTGGCAAGTGGCAACTTCGACACCGCAAAGCAGTCACATTCCCTCAGGACTATAAGAAGACAGAACTTCTCACATTCAGTTTAGATAGACGACAATGAACAGATTGACTCTTACCTCATTTTATTGCGAGACCTGAAGTCATATCGAGCGACCTCTCGCAGAAGCACGGACTGACTCCAGTGTAGAATATCAGGATACTCAGGCGAAGAAGTGCTTTCGGGCTGCAGTGTGGTCGGCTGTCCAGTGGCACAAGGTGTGGCAACCGTCCCCAGGAGGGTGTACAAAGCACCACTCCCTCCCCCCCTCCTCCCTTCCCGCCTTCTCCACCAGAACTTTTCTTGGCTGTTCTCACGAAGTATGTATGTATGTATGTGTATTTTCCGTCCAGCGGCCGTGAGGCCGCTCAGGTCCCAGTGGGGCACAGGACGTGCTGAGCTAGTAGGCTGTCTACAGTCTCCTCTCGCAAACGTAACCAACCACCATCCAGCATTTCATCGGCTCTGAGGCGCTCCGTGTTGAGCCTGGTGCCCGTCAGCGGGTCGTGCAGGCGCGGTGGTGAGATTGCCATTCAGTTTTGGTCTCCAAGAGACCGTTGTCGGAGACTGCAGAGCGCAGCCTCAGTTGGCCCGGCCGGGCAAAGGTGTTGCAGCACCTCTGCCTGGCCGAATCCGGGGATTTGAACAAAGGAAAGAGGTGAGGAAAGATGTGATGCAGCCGCCTAGTGGCGAGGGCAAGCCCATTCAAAGAAGGAGGACGCCTTCGCCAGCTTGACGAACCTGTCGAAGTCTCTGCCTATTGCGCGATTGACTGCTGCATTCGGTGAGGGCGTCAGCCTCATCCGATGCCGCGGCTCGATCTTTCGGCAATAAAAGACATGGTTTGGCTCTTTTCGTCGGCCACATGAGCACGTCAGTCGCGCATCGTCGTGGTTGAACCTCTCGTGGTAGTCGGCAAAGTCCCCGTGACGGGTTCTGGCTGCAAGCAGGTGGTGGAGAAGCGGTCGGGGGAGTTTTAGCTCCAGGGGGCAGCCGGTCGTCGGCTTAAGGTGCAGTGGCTTGTACTGTTCGGGTGCGGAGGCTTCCACCAGGCTTTAAATGCACTTTAGGCTGCTGCCTAGCAGCCCTGCGGCTGTTCTCACGAAGAAAGTCTGTTTCATAAGTTAACATATAGGGTACAGTCCCGATCGATTTTAGTTTCACCCTCAGACCCAGATAATAAGGCTCAGCTAGGCCGGTTCTGGCTGCTGCCCTCAAGGTGTGGCTGAGGTGCGACTAGAAGTATTTTTAAAACCGACAGCCCCTGCATGCACAGTGGGGTTCAGGTACAGCGTCCGGGCTTCAGTGTTGATTTAAACTTTGAATTGAGCGGCCCAAAGTGGCTCAATTTGAGCCATTTTGGGCTGCTTGAAATGCACGACCAGCAACCGCGAAACCGAGCAGATGAATGACTGCCCAAAACCGCTGCAATCAATTTTTGATATGTTTGAAATCAACTCCTGGCAATATGGACATATCTCCATGGTATATACAGTGAGGTTTAGGTTTAGCGTCCGCAGATCAATCAATGGGTAAGTCTCAGCAAGCTGAGAGCGCGGGCGGAAGGATAAGGGCAGGCACAATTGAGTCCAAACGATGATGCATGTTTTCTATCTATCTGTGCGACATTGAGGGGGTATTTATACGAATAGATACCAATCTTGGACCCGTGGAGGGCCTGAATCAGGGCCAATTCCCGTGTATCCTGATTAGGGCAATGTTCCTCTACTGTATCGATACCTGACTCAAGTCCCTGTGTCTGACCTGCCTCTTTCACCGGAGTTTATACGTGTGCGGATTAGACCGTCAGTCTGCTCCCTCTGACAGTAAGTTATCCGTGGGGTTATTAGGATTCACAATTCAAGGCTGAATAATGCTTGCAGAAAGAGTGTCTGCCTTGATTTAACAGCTATATAACATGGCAACATGTCCATATAGCCAGGAGTTAATTTCTAGACCTATCAAAAATTGATTGCAGCGGTTGGGCAATCATTCATCTGCTATTGTCGCGAAGAACGGCCCATGGTCGAGTCAACCAGGTCACCCATGGGTAGCTAGGGCAGCAAGGGAGCTGATAACCAGGTCTGAACGAGGAGGCTGAAAGCTCCTCTTGAAAGACTGGAACATCTCCAGTCGAGAGGCTGGGGACCTCAGGTCCCCAGCCTCCTGAACACATTACCTTTACTACGAAAGAGGGATATAAATAGGGGCTTGGGTTTAGGGCAGAAAGGAGGAGGACAGAGACAAGGTATACAATGAAACTACAATATGCCTTTTCTGCTGACTTTCTTCGTGAGAGCCATACGTTCGGTTTCGCGGTTGCTACCTGGCCGTGACTTTCAAGCAGCCCAAAGTGGCTTAATTCAAAGTTTAAATGAACACTGAAGCCCGGACGCTGTACCTGAACCCCACTAGAGTGATGGTCTGGAATATAGCGGCGACTTGTTGAGCTGTTAAATCAAGGCAAATGCTTTCTGCAAGCATTATTTGGCCTTGTATGGTGAATCCTACAACCCCACGCATAGCTTACCCGTATTTTTTTATTGATCTGAGGACGTTAAATCTGAATACTAGCGTCTTAGCAGGATAGAAACAAGTAATCTTTGCCAGCATGATGTGTTCACGCCATTACCAAAAGAAAACACTCAACACATCTTTCAGAATGAAGTCCTAATTCCAATGCCCCCGAAAGGGTAGCGGGTACTTAATCATCGGGCACAATAAATCAAAAAAGATGATAAGCTCTTGGAGAACTTCTACCCAAGTCGAACCACGAGCTAGAGAACCAATATCAACTTCAAACACCAACAATGACGGTTCAAACGTCGACAAGTCTTTAGGGCTCATCGCGTGGACTCATCCCGAGGACTCGTCTCAAGGGCTCGTCTCAAGGGCTCGTCTCGAGGGCTCGTCTCAAAGGGCTCATCTCAAGGGCTCATCTCAAGGGCTCGTCTCAAGGGCTCGTCTCAAGGGCTCGGTGGCTCTCCTCAAGGGCTCATCTCAAGGGCTCATCTCAAGGGCTCGTCTCAAGGGCTCGTCTCAAGGGCTCGTCTCAAGGGCTCGTCTCAAGGGCTCGGTGGCTCTCCTCAAGGGCTCATCTCAAGGGCTCATCTCAAGGGCTCGTCTCAAGGGCTCGTCTCGGGGCTCGTCTCAAGGGCTCGTCTCAAGGGCTCGTCTCAAGGGCTCGTCTCAAGGGCTCGGTGGCTCTCCTCAAGGGCTCATCTCAAGGGCTCATCTCAAGGGCTCGTCTCAAGGGCTCGTCTCGAGGGCTCGTCTCAAGGGCTCGTCTCAAGGGCTCGTCTCAAGGGCTCGTCTCAAGGGCTCGGTGGCTCTCCTCAAGGGCTCATCTCAAGGGCTCATCTCAAGGGCTCGTCTCAAGGGCTCGTCTCGAGGGCTCGTCTCAAGGGCTCGTCTCAAGGGCTCGTCTCAAGGGCTCGTCTCAAGGGCTCGGTGGCTCTCCTCAAGGGCTCATCTCAAGGGCTCGTTTCAAGGGCATGCTCTGGGATACCCAGGACGACACCGGGAGGAAGCCAGCTGTACTTATACTTATTACGTTTCCCCTCTTGCAATGGCAATGGGAACAGCGGAACACCATCTTCTCATGTTCCTCCCACGTCGCTCATGAGGTAGGGTGTCATTGATCTGCGAGTCACCATACATGGCAGAGGAAACGCACCACCCTCTTATTAAGGCTGCCACACTCTGCAGGGATGCAATTACCAAACCCCACCAGCCGCCGCGAGATGGGCAAGGAGACATAAAATGTAGACAAATGGTGAACGACACGGCTTAGAGAAAAACCACGCGGACCTCCCGCCTGAAAGAGGCCAATACAAAGTCTAGCATCGGATTTTCTCAATGCACCTATATCATGTTTGGGCGCGAATGTTGAGATGAATCTGTACTGTCCAGCCGGCCGCAGAAAAGCGGGTATGGTCCGGGATGGCAGTCACCCCGCTTGCTGGCAAACGCCCTCTATTCCATGCTCCCCAACCCCGGAACGCAACTTCCCGAGAACGTCGATGTACCGCTTTGCAAAGTCGTGATAGCAGTGTAATTTGAATCAATAGTCTGACATACACTCCACGAAAAGATGGTGTGCAGCCGGAAGTAGCCCACGCTTCTTCCTTGGTCTGCGCAACCCGCACTCGGGTGCCTCGTCAAATGCGACAGCCATATGGAAGAAGTGGCAGAATCAGAAGGTCCTCACGGCGGCAGGCGATGACTGGTAGAGTTATCATCAAGTTTTGTTCCTTGGCTGGGCGGTATTTCCTTGAAATGGCGTCATGAAGCAACAGCTTGCTCGAAGTCACTCCCCGTGGCAAAGCAAAACGGGCTCTACCCAAGACACCGTCCGAGGCTTTCGAGCGGGTGCCCGCCCAAGCCAGCTCCCAGCCAACCCAAACGCCGCCGACTCCCCGGTCCCAGAGGACTTCTCCGACGGCGTTGACTGGGTCAACGGTCAACGCTCACGCGTGGCGGTCTCAGCGAGGCACGTCTTCTTTGTGCCGTATTTCATCGGTTTGACTCCCAGATTCATGCAACGTGTCGTTTCTGCTGCTCGGCGGTATTGTTCTCGGTGCTTTCCAATTCACCAAGGCAGTGAGTTGGCCAAGCGCTGCCACTAAGACTCGTTTGTACTCACGCAAGGATCGATCGTCCTGACTGGAAGCGCCCTGGCCGTAGCTACCTGCAGTCCACTTCGGAATGGACCTTTCTAGGTCTTGAATCAGTTTTGCCTCATCTTCTCGCCATGCTTTCTTTCTTGCGCGCCCCTTGCCAATATTCAGCGGTAGCGGCTCTAAGAATGGCGCCAGTGCGGCGCACAAGTCCTGCTCGCTCATTGTCAGATCCCAATCTAGGTGACATATGAGCTGCGCTTCCATCTTATTCACATCGCCTTGGGTGAACTGAAGAGCCGAGGTAGCAGTCTGGACGCTAGAGTGAAACACCCAGTGTTTGTTTTTGGGTGGACTATCATCGAGAAATTTGACGGCCACGACGAGTGACGCTAGGAATATGCGATGTGGTGTAGAAGAGACGCCATGGGCTGTCGTATTCAGCTTTGACTTGAGGCGGTTGAGATAGACGAGAGTCGACATGAGCGGTAAGGCTCTGACCTCCGATGAGACTACTAGATTCGCGATGAACTCCTCCAGTGCCGGTAGCCTAGACTTCTCAGGCTCATACCAGCAAGCTCCATACTGAAGTAGTTCAGAAGGAAAGGGCGTCGAATCCTTCTGCTGAAGAGAGGCGCACGGGCTCGTGAGCGGAGGTGGTGAACCGTGGCTTACTACACGGTCCACGATCCTCGCGAGATACGCGATCATATCGCTGCTGACTGGCTGGTTTCCAAAGTGCCTGAGTGCTTGCTGGTTGAAGGCATCGACAGTGGGAGATCGGGGAAGCATCTTAGATATTGGTGGGCAATGGCTATCCTTTGGCTGTAGAGACCGCAATTCGAGACTGCCGACGGCGTCAGTTTGGGCGCAAAGAATTAGAACGCGAGGAACTAGAGCTCAAGCCCACTGACCCACGGCGACACCTACGTCCGAGTTTGGGAATACGTAGTTCGTGACGGATGAAGATAGAAGTCTGAAGGCGACTGCGGCGAGCTTGTCTGGATTGCCGAGGTTGAAAGGTGAGTAAATGACTTTGCATCTCTCGGATTTGTGCGATAGCGACGAATAAAATGGTTTGGTCGCCAGTTCTGCCTCACTGAGTAGAAACACTCACAAGCTTTCGCGCCCGGCTTGCATACTGTATTGCTCCCGCACGCAGCAGACAAATTGATAGGCTGACTTGTCTGTTAAATTGGCACCTTCTGTGGCTAATAAAGGCTGATTTTAAGGTGAGATAAATCCTGAGGGGGGGCAACGCAACGATATTTGTCAGGTAACCGTTACGCCCCAGTAAACGTGTAGGCCAACACGTAGTGTAGAAATAATAGTTCCTTATATGTTTTATGGATTAGCCAAGGCACGAGTTGACCGCAGATCTGCCACCAGAAAAGAGGGGGTAGTGTGAGGGCTTTCAAGACGCGAAAGCCCCCTTTCTCTACTTCACTACCATGGAGCTCTATCAGGATGAGGTTGGAGATTCATCTTTCAAGATCTTTCGAAAAGGATCCATCAGCGGGTGACTTTTCGTTGCGTTTCACGCGCTTATCATGTACGTTCGCCTCAGCGCAGTGAATTTTAGATGCGTTATAGCGCAAATGGGGAGGTATACCTGCTGTTTTCGACTCCTCCGTATCAAGTATGCAAAACAGAGGCATACCGGTAGACTAAGAGTTAAGCATCATGTTCGGAAAATCCTACACAAAGGTTCGTATTGCTTCTATCGTTTCTTGTTTACACTTGGAAATTGCCTCTTCAGCCTCGTGCCTGCTTCTGTCGCTTTCCTGTGCCACCACTGAACATGCGTTTTCCCGGCTCGCTAGAGCGGAGAGGAACCACGATGTTAGCCGAAGTGTGGCTTCTGCTTTTTCGACCTCGGCTGCGAAGCTCCCGCTTTGTGGGTGACTCTCCCTTCGAGACATTCGAGCTCTTGCTTGCTTCCTTCTGTCGTCTTTACTAGACCGAATTCTCTTATCGGTCTCATACATGACAAAAACTCGACGTCTAGCATGAGCCAGTCGCAAGACACTGTCGGGTATTTGAATGTGCGCTGTCTTCATTGGGGCGACTCGAGTAGTTGCCCGCTGCGACTCCTTTTGACGAAGTTGCGCAAATCCAGCGGAAGAAATACTATTTTCCATTTAACCACGGTCGCTTCGTACGTGAAGATCTATATGTTCAATCTAGATGAGCTGCAAGTTATGTCTTTTGTGCTTAATCTCGCCCCTGTTCTCAAATATATTTGGGCTTAGGCACTCATTCGTCTCATCACTGGATGGGTCGTATGTCGTACCAAGAAGTGTAGATCAACTCTCGCGAAGGAGAGATCAAAAGTGGGCATAAAAGTGAATAAAGGGACATTTCGTAGGTAGATTCCCAGATGATCTGATAGTCTGTGATGTGCATGTGTTGATTGCTCTGCCCCAGTTGCCCTTTTCCCGTCCAAACAGCCCCTTTTGTATCCCTCCAAGCTTCTCCCAAGTTGATATCCCGTTTTCAGGTATAGTATACATTCTATCAGGAAGAGGGCACTTCTTGCCACTTACTGAAGGCCACGTAAGTCATCTACGTCAGCAACATCAGCTCCATCTCCCCGATCAAATAGCTCTGCTAGCTTTTGGATCGATAGTTCAGTCTCTCGAGGTCCCCGAGCCAGTGATAGTTATGCCGGACTCCTCAAGGGTCCCCGTTCGAATAGGAGATCCTCCGGACCCTCAGTGGTCTAGGAAGAATAAATAACAGTCTGCAGACTTCCCTTCTTACCTGGTTTCAAGCTGTATTACCTAGAGAGACCTAGAGACGTCAACTCGTTCGGACCTTCTTCTCGACATCAACAGCTAACTTTGGCTAATTTTTTTTATGGATGCCGTCGCGTAGACCACTCTTGGCTGGACATCACAACATGGAATGCCGTGGGCTGGTAGGTACTCACAAATTGACCTCCTTCCGAATTCACGAAGTAATACGTAAAGAAATTCTGAGCATTGTGTTCTGGAGCTTCGCTACGAGTGGCGTTCATCGCCTGTAGCAGGTCTTGGCTGCAGTGTGTTGACTTACCAATGATACGCTCATGCCCTCGTCAAGTGTGGCATCCATCCCGACAGAATGGCATTTCGGTTTGGCCAATTTTCTTGCAAAACTCACGCAGTTGACAATTACATAAGGCCCTGCAACTGTCGCGAAGAACGGCCCATGGTCGAGTCAACCAGGTCACCCATGGGTAGCTAGGGCAGCAAGGAGATAGGATTTAATTCCGAGTTTAGTGGGCACTAAAACTCGGTGCTGTGCACCTGAGCCTCACTGTACCGTAACGACACCACTACTCCAAAAAAGATGGTCGGGGGAGGAGGCCTTCCGGCTGTTGCGCAGCGACTTGCCGGAACTTCAAGACATTTAGTGCCTGTTTGGGTGTGGTTTGACGGCTTGTAAAACGGCATTGTAAGGGACCCAAGACGGTTTTACCCCGCTGTCACGCGCCTAAAGTGCTTGACCACGGTAGATGGCTGGTTGATTCCAACCACTGGCTGGAGTGACTTTTCCAGGGAAAAGCACGGGGCTGGGAGGCCTCTCGTGGTTATAAAAGTAGGGTTGCATAGCACCTGATGGAGCTCGTCAGAGATCAATGAATTGAATGATTGACCCCCGTTCCTCACTCTCTGTTTAGTTGTGTGTGCGCCTTACACCCGCCGCCCCCGACGTTGCAATACGTGAGGGACAAGAACTCTGTAGGTCCGGCAATCATTATCTGTAGAAGATGGTGTAAGGATCCCGTACCGGCTGCAGTGGGGCGGCTTTTTGAGAAGGTGTTGCGAGACAAGCTGCGATCCTGCTGCTGTCTTGTCGCATCCAAAATCCACTTCTCGCACCGCCGCATCCCGTCTGTCGGCTTGATCACCGCACGGCGAGAACACATGGGGACTCACCCCTAGGATCATCACGAGGTGCGAGAACCTATGGGTGGTACTGGTACAGTATGCCGGGTCATCGACTCATCGTCGGGTCGCTCGCCATTTATTGTCTGATACCACGGAACGATTTCTCCAACTGGTGTCGGGGCTGGAGGCCTCGGCATTTGCGCTACTGTTTAGCATTAACGTGAGATTCGGACAGGCTCGGGCACCAAGGTCGTTGTTCTATGTAGGAGACGAAGCACACGTAACGGCATAGCGCTTCTTACTTGCTGAAACGTAAGTCGACTGAACCCTACAGCCGCGTTCATTGAAGACTTCGATGGGGTAGCCTTCCTCATTGTCTCCGTTTAACCAGATAATGAACATTGTCACACAGGATGTATCAGCCTCCAACAATCTGATTTCCATATTCGCACAGCTGGCCCATATTTTAGGTCGTGGCTGTTCGTACTGCCATATTAGTGATGGATTCGAACCTTCTAGATGACATCGTCATCTAGGCTGCCTGAGTGGCGATATCGGCACTCAACCCAACGTCACAAGTATAAGAAGCCAACTTCTCACTATCACTTATATATAGAATCAAGAGTTCTTCAGTCCCCGATCTTCATGCTTGCTCGGCTCATCCTCCGTGAGATAATCGTGGCCGCCCTGGCGGGCAGGTCAGATCGTTGGCGTCTCCATCCCATACGAAAACGCCGAAATGCTCCCAAGGTGAGAAGTATCGACAGGACTTACTTATTGTACAGCATCACTCCAACAACTTCCCACTTCCAGGCGGCAGGGCGAACTTGCCTTAATACCGGTTCTTGGGGTTGACGTCTACTATCAGTCGCCAAGCACCCCACATCTTCCACCTCTTTCTCTTCTCTTATCTTCTCACTTACACTTGGCGGCTATATCTCTTCGTCGTAAGGCGGACTTATTATCATCCAAGATAATCTGCAGCTGGTAGAGCAGGGCATAGTAGTCCGCAGAGAACTTTGTCGCATGGACCACCCAGCCAAAAGTGAGATGCACATCACAACAGCACCGCTGCTAGCATGGCTGATGTGGCCTATTTCAATCAATGGAAGTTTAGCAATGTGCAGTAAAAACAGCTAGACAGCATCTACTGTATTTCGGAGTGATGACGCAGCAAATGCTTCGTAAACCAGGCCAAATATCGCCACTTATTATCACAACTCAAGGGGCAACAATACATTTTGTAACGATCCATGAATACATGTGGGCCAGGATCTTCCACCCTGAGACTTGAGTCAATTCCGTAAGAAGATTCTGTGGGAGAAGTTGGGGCCATCCATTAAATCTGGACGTCATCGAATAGTTAGGTTGCTGCGTCACTGCCATAACATATATAGCGGTGTACGTGTCAGTCGCCCCATATCAATGATTTGAGATCTGACGAGGCTGACTGTGTACTCACTAGAGTCAGGTCCGTCCAGGAATGCCAGCGAGTCTTCATGGCGCCGCAGAGCCGCGTTGTCTCGCAGCCGCAAACACTGATTTACGTCTCCAGACTGTTCGTCGCCATTGTCCCGTGTCTGGGTCACAAACTTAGCTTGCTGGTACCTGAAAATAGTGGGTCTCAACGTTTGTAAGGTGTGCGCGTAATGCCAGTCCTTCCCGATTTGTCGCTAGTTGAAGGAAACCTTGAGACGTCCGCGTCGCAGTAGCCAATCGCAACCCGTCACTGCAAAGTTTATCCATGTCTTCGGGTTGAAGAGCTTGTTTCTCGTATTCACAATCATCCAAATCTGACGTGGATGTAGGTGCAGTAGCAGTCTGAGAGTTTGTATGAGGCAGACAATCATTAGCGCCAACACCTCAAGTTGGCGTCCCACGTCCGGCCCATTGGGTTGAGCTCTCGCTCGCTGTTAGGCTCAACATCCAGGATTTCGTAGAAGCGTGACGAATTCTGCGCATCGGCCGTCGCCTTCGAATGGTGTTGAGGCGTCGCAGTTCTAGCTTCGTCTAGTATCTAGTCAGAGTCTCCTTGTTTTTTTCCCAGTGCGACACCGACGTACCGTGGTCCAACAAAATTTGCTCAGGTCCGTCTTGGGCAGTGTTTGGTGGCCGCTCATCGCGCACTATAATCGTAGTATCAGAAGCAAGATGATCCTGCAGGCGTGACCTCGTAATCCCTTCGCTGCATGGAGTACCATCGTCAGATCCTGTCACGCGCTTAAAGCTGTGGGTTGTACGATCTGAAACCGAAGTGGGGATCACGACGCGCGGCCAGAGGTATATAAGGACGCAGGGATACCCACAGCCCACTGGAGGAACTCTTTAGAGATCAACGAATTGAATTATTGGCCCCGTTCTTCACTCTCTGTTTCGTTGTGTGTGTGCGCCTTACAGTTTGATCTCTCTCCCCTTTAGGGCACAGAGACCGTTGAACGGGACCGGCTTGAATCATGGACTTATCGCAGCTTCCTCCAGAACTGGCCAGGGCAGTGGAGCGCCACATGCACCAAGCTCAGGTGGCGGGCTCTACCTCACAGACAGCACTCCCATCTTCGGCGCAGGTTCCCCCTGTGGAGGAATCGGACGCAACGGAATCTCTCTCGGATAGCGGCGAGGTTGAACCAGGACCTTCCCCGATGACGAACAGAAGAAAAACCATGACACAAAAAAGGCTAGATCAGCTCGCAGCGGCTAGAGCTGCGAAGAAAAGGAAAGAGTCGCATGGTAGACCCCAGCGGGGCGAGAATGTGGGGCAACAGGCTGAACCAACCACCTCCAACGTGGCCTTCAATGAAGCTCAGGAAACGCAAACCGAACTAGGAGAGATCCGGCAACAGCTGGATCAGCAGATCGATCGCTCGTGGCGGCAAGGGGAGCAGATACAGCAGCTCCTGAGCGCCCTCCTAGAAAAGTCGGGCGAACATGGCTCTAGGTCACGACGACGGTCCAGGTCGCCAGAGTATAGCCCACCACCGCGGCAAAGGATTCGGGAACGCTCTCCCATTTACGAGCCCAAGAACAAAAACCAGGTACAGATTCAGCAGTTCCGGGGCACTTCGGCAGCCGAGCTTTCTACCTTTGTCGGAACCCTTCAGTGGGTGTTTCGGGAGCACCCCCGCCACTACCAGGATGAGCAGAGGAGAATCAGGCTAGCGGCGGGCCATCTCAGCCAGACATTGAGAAGGGATTTCCTAGACAATCTGCGACTCAAATTCGATGGAAGTGAAGAAAACATGACGTGGGGAGATATGGAGGACTGGCTCTGGAGCAATATCAACAATCCCGAGGTCGTACCGGAATGCATACACCAGCCTGACCAAGCTTAAAGCCCGGCCAGTCATTCCGGGACTTCTTTCGGCAATATCGTGCGATTGAAAGCGAGTTCCTCAAACTGTTCCGACTGGCTACGCATTGAGATGTTTCTCTTCTGCTGTAACAAAGATATCAAGGATCTCTTTCGATCCCAAAACTACCCCAAATCGTGGACCGACTTGGTAGAAAAGGGCCATGAGTATGACGACGATTTCCATGACAAGGGTTACCAACCCTACCGCAGCGCCGGTGATCCGAGGTCGACAGAAACGAATGGCGAAGAGGATACATCAACAAGGAAGGAGAAGCCCGGCGCCTGTTTCAAATGCGGGAAGCCCGGTCACATACGACCAAAGTGCACCGAGCCTGATTGCAAACGATGCGGTGACGGCAGACACACTACGGCCCGTCACTCCGACCCGGCTACGGGTCCCAATGGGATACGCAGGGTCCAACAAGAACCGGAGGATGAGGATTAGGAACCACACCGGCTCCTGTCTCAGAGCGGTGAGAACTGGATACCCTACCAGTTGCGACAGGATGGCCGGTGGTCCAAGACATGTTTGGCTTTGCTTGATCAAGGCAGCCACTACAACCTGATCTCCAAGGCTGCTCACTCAACGTGATTGGCAGCGAGTGGAACCAACGATGGAGCAACCCGAAACGGCAGACCATAGCCGGATTGACACAAAAGGAACTATCCACGTCTTGCTCAAGGCAAGGGATAGCTGGGGAACCGAGAAAATTCTTCGGGTCTTCTGCTTCGTCTCATCTGTAGCTGACAAGGAAGGACTTTGGCTGGGCAAACCTGGCTAAAACATATCAGTCTGTTGCTGGAGAGGGCAGATCACCTTACCTGGGCTTTCGCTGCGCCCCCGCAAAGGACATCGTTCGTTCGCGGCGCGAAACAGATCAGGCGTCTCGCGAAATCTCACTTTGGTATACCCCTTACCCACGAGAACAACAACGAAGCGGTGGCTCCTTTAGAAGACGCAGCCCTACCAGAAGTTGCCTTAGCATACCGAGATTGGGCAGACGTCTTTCAGAGGAAGAGGCTGCTAGGTTACCCCTCTTTCAGGGCGTTCCCATCCAATCGACCTCGAGGATGGGCAAATACCCTCCAGGACCCATCTATAATCTGTCAGAACATGAGCTCGCGGTATTACGCGAATACATCGCTTCGGCCCAGGCGAAAGGATGGATTCGACGATCAATCAGTCCTGCAGGCTCTCCGATTCTCTTCGTTCCTAAAAAGGGAGGGAAACTACGGTTATGCGTCGACTACCGTGGGTTGAATAAGGTGACCAAGAAGAACCGAGCGGCTTTGCCATTGATCTCGGGGATCTTGGACCGACTGGGTAGAGCTAAAGTCTTCACCAAGCTCGACCTAAAGGACGCATATCACCGACTCCGGATTCGCGAAGGGGACGAGTGGAAAACAGCATTTAGGTGCCACTATGGCCATTACGAATACCAGGTGATGCCATTTGGGCTGGTCAACGCTCCCGCCTCGTTCCAGCAATATATCAACGATGCACTAGAAGGCCTGGTTGACATCATCTGTGTTGTCTATCTGGACGACATCCTTATCTTCAGTGAAGACCCGGAACAGCATGAAGGCCATGTCAAGGACGTCCTGCAAAGGTTACGAAAAGCCGGACTTTACGCCAATCTGAGCAAATGCGAATTCTCGGTGAAGAAAGTCTCCTTCCTGGGGTTCGTGGTCGATGAGGAAGGAATCCACATGGAAGAGGAACGGGTCCATGCTATCACAGAATGGCCAGCACCCCGTTCTGTAAAAGACATACAGGTTTTCTTAGGGTTTACTGGGTTCTACCGCCGCTTTATCAAGAACTACAGCAAGATCGTGTCTCCGCTCACGGATCGTCTCCGCAAGGGGCATCGAAGCTTTCAAGCTGGATCCAAAAGCAATGAGGGCTTTGAGGATCTCAAGACGGCCTTCACATGTGGGCCTGTTCTCAGACACTTCGATCCTTCCAAGACAATACGAATCGAAACAGATGCGTCCCAGTTCGCTATCGGAGCAATAATCTCTCAACTGCACGCCGATCGATGGCACCCGTAGCGTTCCTTTCGCGGAAGCTTCAGGACGCAGAGACAAGATACGCAATCCCGGACTGCGAACTGCTAGCTATCACAGAAGCTTTCCGCCATTGGCGCCACTACCTTGCGTATACGGAGCAGAAGATCACCGTTTTGACGGACCACCTGAACCATAAGTACTTCATGTCCAAAGCTAAGCTGACCAATCGACAGATGAATGCACTAGACCAGTTGTGCAGCTTTGACTTTGAAATCGTCTACCGGCCGGGCTTGAAGAATCCTGCGGATGGATTATCAAGACGGCCGGACCATGAGAAGGTGATGAGAACAGCCGGGCTGCGAGATCCGTGCGTTCCGTCATTCCTTGAAAAGTTTGCCCAGCTGTTTCCGTGAACCTGCGGAAGGGGACCGTACGTGTTCAAGACAGGCTGCTGGTATTGGCGATCAGTCCGGTTCGCGACCGGCTGTCCCTGTCGCCCATGCACATGTTGACCGGCTGTTTCGTGAACCCGCGGAAGGGGACCGTGTGTGTTCAAGACAGGCTGTCGGATTTGGCGAGCAGTCCGGTTCGCGACCGGCTGTCCCCGTCGCCCTCGAAAAGATTGATCGGCTGTTTCCCGTGAGTCTGCGGGTAGGGACCGTATGCACTCTAGACAGGCTGTCGAATTACGCGATCAGACCAGGTCGCCCCTGGCTGTCCCTGTCGCTGATGGAAGAGCTAAGCTCGACCGTCTCAGGCGTGTTGCACGAGTCTTGAGGACGTCGAGGACGACGTCTCAGGAGGAGGGCACCGCTGTAACGGCATCAACGTTACAAGAGTCACTGCAAGAGGCCCTGCTGGCGGCACAGCAAGGGGACGCCTTTGTTGCCCAACAGAAGCAGCTTGTCACTGTCCCTGGTAGCGTTACCGCCGGTGGGCTATCGTCAGAAGTCTGGAGCACCAATGACGAGGGGCTGTTGTGTTACCGCAAGAAGATCTTCGTGCCTCTGGGTTTGAGAAACGAGATCCTAGTGTTGTTTCACGACGATGAGGTTGCCGGCCATCAAGGCGGAACCAAGACTTGCAAGCGGATCCAGGTGCAGTACTACTGGCCCGGATTACGTCGAGACGTGCGTCGTTATGTCTCTACCTGCCGCGAATGTCAGCTCGCAAAGCCGAGGCATCATAAGCCGTACGGGCTGCTAGCGCCACTGCCAGCGCCAAGCCGTCCGTGGCAAGAGATTTCGATGGACTTCATCACGGACCTCCCGCCGGTCCGATGTGAGAAGAAGATTTACTCCGGTATCCTAGTCGTGGTCGACCGCCTGACCCGCTACGCACGGTACATTCCGGTGTCGTCGCGCATATCCAGTGATGGCTTGGCAGATGTGTTCCTGAGGGAAATCTTCAAGCATTATGGAATGCCTGATGGCATTGTCAGCGATCGAGGGAGCCTATTTACGGGGCACTTCTGGGCCACGTTTTGCCATTTGCTTCATTGCAAGCGACGCCTCAGCACGTCTTTTCATCCTCAAACTGATGGTCAAACTGAGCGGGTCAACCAGACGATCGAACAGTACTTACGGACTTTCTGCAACAAAGAGCAGTCAGATTGGATGGACAAGTTGCCATTGGCGGAGTTCACGTATAACACCTCATACCATGACACGGTGAAAGGAGCTCCAGCCGAGGTTTTGATGGGCTATCAGCCACGGTCTAAGGGTCATGTCAAGGGACAACTCGAAAGCTTCAGCACCCGGGCGATAGACCGAGACCGGGGTCTCAGAGAACTTCACGCACGCACGGCGCTCCTCATCACAAAGGCCCAAGAGCGACAGGCGCGATACTATAATAAGGATCGAGAGTCGATGTCCTTCAAAGAGGGTGACTGGGTCCTTATCTCCACCAAAAACCTTCCGCTACGGCGCCCGACTAAGAAGTTGACCGAGAAGTACGTCGGTCCTTACCAGATTGAACAGGCCATTGGGGGGCATAAACTAGCCTATCGTCTCCGCCTGCCGTCAGCAGTCAAAATCCACCATGTCTTGCCTATCAGCAGCTTGGAGCCTTACCGGAGTCGAGACAAACAGCCAGTTGAGCCTGAGGACCACCCATTTATGGCGGAGACTACATACGACGTGGAACAAATTCTCGATCATCGTGGGCCAAAAAGTCGTCGACGATACCTTGTGAAATGGAAGGGTCATGGAGAAGAAGAGAACTCCTGGGTGTCTCGTCGTGACTTCGTGGACAAGGCGTTCCTGACGGACTACGATCAATCTACGGGTCCAAGGTCCTAGGAGTTCGGGACGAACTCCTCGGGAGGTAGGGCAACCTGTCACGCGCTTAAAGCTGTGGGTTGTACGATCTGAAACCGAAGTGGGGATCACGACGCGCGGCCAGAGGTATATAAGGACGCAGGGATACCCACAGCCCACTGGAGGAACTCTTTAGAGATCAACGAATTGAATTATTGGCCCCGTTCTTCACTCTCTGTTTCGTTGTGTGTGTGCGCCTTACAGATCCTGAGGTCGAACCCATAGTTGATATGGGAGCCTTCGAATGAGGTGCAAGACCGAAGTCCTCCTTGGGGCGGTCGCCATCGCGATCCTGCTCAGATTGGGGGCAGCTCGCTGTTTCTCGATTGGGATCGCACCCAAGTCTTGGTTCCGAATCGTCAGTTGAGCATTCCCCGTCGATTGAGACCTTCGGGTCCTTTTGGCCGCGCATAATCCGATTTCACCTGACTGAGATTGATCTCCGCAGCTGGTTTTGGGCGTCAGACGGAAAGCCCTAAGCTCCTAGTATCGTCACCTGGGAATAGTGTGTTAGAATTGGGGTTTTCTCATCAAGACCAGGGACTCACCATCAACAGACCTTGCTCGTTGAGAGGCAGATGCATCATCCTTATCCTTTGCTCGTGACTTTTCCCGCTCATTGACAAACTGGCGAACCTGCCCGACGTGTTTGATGCGCTTGTCAATATTGGCATCCATTAAGTCGAAGCTTCGGAGGTCTCTGGCAGCGACCCAGCCGACTGAGCTTCTCTCCGGAAAATCCAAGCAATCAAAAAATATGATGGGGTATTGCCGCTCTGCGAAAAGACGTCCGCCACCCTCGTACTCCTTTCGCCATCGAAAGCTTTTCTCTTCCCGGTCGTACTCATAACAGTGCGGGACGTTTTTCGTCAGACCCAATGCCTCGATTGTAATTGGAAGGCCAACATCGTGCAAATTGTCTGTGGGCAAGAGAAGTACTGGCGACCAGGCGTCGGATTTGAAAGCAAGGTAGACTTCGCCAGGGTGAGAGATCTGGCTATATCATCCTGCAACTGCCCGTCATTCTCGTTCAGTGAATCGTCACTATGCCGCTCTTGGCTCTCAGTGATTCGTCGCCTCTTCCACTGCGGCTGAATCATCCTATCGAGCCTTCGTTTAGGCTTGATTCGTCAATATAGTCCTTTCGGTCGGGCATGGGCAACTTACCCTGTTGCTTTTGCCGCAGGTGTCAGTGGTCTCCGTGCAAGGCCCCCAGGAGGCCCACGACGCCCAACTGATTCGACGGGTGTTGCCGGTTGAGAGCCTTTCGGCTGATCTCTAGTTGACCCATTCGGAAGTGTTTGCTGGAGCCCTGTCTGCTTTGCGGTGTATTTGGAAGCAGCATAGATTCCAATACTGCGATAAGCCCTTTGCAAGAGTCTTTCCAAACAGCATCGATACGACGCTGGTAAGAAGCCTCTGCACCCTCGAGGCCCTCTTTATGTTCACTTTCAATCCTCTCCAACTCACGGCCATAATTCAGAATCTTGCTCTGGAGCTCGGAACGATCGATCGGGCTTTGACCTGAAAACAGACGTTCCCAAGCCTCATCAATGCGGGTGTTGACATCGGTCAGTCTCTCCTCATACTCGAATCGTGGTGACTTGTGGGACTTTAATTCTTGCTCGCACTGTGAAATTCGAATTTGTATATCTTCGATTTGTTGAAAGATGCGAGAACTGGACGGAATCGTCATAGCCATGATCAACAAGACGTGATGAATTGAGGTTCGGACTTATTATGATGGTGCGGACCAAGTATGGAACGTAGAAATTGAGCACGCGACGAAACATGGTATTTATTGCGGTTTGGTCTCTGGAGAGAATGGCCACATGGTACAGTAGCATGGTATTGATGTACTGTTACAAGCAAACACTTCGCGCTTGTCCACATCTTTCAGGCTCCAGCGTTCAAATGTGCTGCACCTGCCAGCGGCAATCTGGTCCGAATATCCGATAGGTTTGTGGGGGGGTGGGAACCAAGGTGGGTATGCCCTGCAGTTGGTCAGCCTTGATTCTTGAGGTGTGAGGACCTAGCCCAACCAGCGGAACCGCATAGTGTAATTCTCTTTAACTTGATGAATTCAGACAGCACCAAACTACCCGAAGCTCCCGAAACAAATAATGCGGACTGGCATATCGCAGCACGGAGGTCGGACGGTCGAACACAGTCGCAATCACGTCTTTAGTCCCCCGTGGCCTCCTGGGTAAGGGAAATCTCCACAGGTCTGCTGGGGCCGTTGGTGTAGCGGCTGGCACACCCTGGGAGCTGCATAGGGGGTGCACTCCACCACTGCTGTTTGCTTCCCAACTAAGGGATATACTCGGCGGTCTTGCGATAAGTTCTGTTGGTTTGCTGTCTCGGCCATAATCCGCCGACTTGGCTTCTGTGCGGAAGGGCTCGGATGGTGACCGATACTGTATATGGGGGCGAAAACGCATGTGTGCATTTTCTCGTATTGGAACTTGAAAGCACGAGCATTTACCTGTCGCACAGCGCTCGGTTCTCTAGGTATCCGGCACTTTGTCAACTCGATTCGACAGCGGCTGGCTGGCCTTTGGACGATGGGTAGAGTAGCGACCCCCCCGCCGCTGGTCGCGGGGAATTTTCCCCCACTTCTTCCACTTTCACCGACACACTTCGAATCGTCCGGTAATGCCAAGAACGAAATGCCTCCAGATTGTATGACCCAACACAAGCATATTAAGACTCTCGTTCTTGACGTCCGCTCACATATTGACATCGCGAAAATAGCTTCCTGCAGCGAGCAACTATTCGCAGAATTCGACTGAAATTGAGAGGATTTGAACTCCGAAGTGGTCGTCCTCTGATGGTAGCTCTTTCGATGTCACGAGCCCTACAGAAGCAACTATCCAAACAGCCTGTTCCGTGACGAGATGATCCCAAAATTTGTTTCAAAAGCCAGGCATCCCTTCCCTGAGTATAACACCAGCCAGTGCTTTGAGGCTGGGTAACACGTTGAGAACTTGACATGTGTGTATTTTTTGTCCAGCGGCCTTCAGGCCGCTCAGGTCCCCGAGACGGGGCACAGGACGTGCTGAGCTAGACTATCTAAAATTCCTGCCACCGAAAGGGCACCCAGTACTCCCTGCAAGGCCTCGCAAAGGCAAGCTGTCGAGGTGGATCCCTGGAGGCGGCTCTCTACGCCCGACGGTAGGTTGTCGCTGAGCACGTCAATACAACGTCAATACAAGTGACCAGAGCCCCCGCGGCCAGTCCTCCCAAATGTCCATCCAGCATTTCGTAGGCTCTTTGGCGCTCCTTGTCGAAGCCTGTCTCCCGTCAGCGCGACTTCCAGGCGCGTGGCAATTGCCACAATGGTCAACCCTTGGTTTTCCTGGTCAGGATTATCTCGCTCGCTGCTAAGACTGCTGCCGCAGTCCATGCTCCGGTAACCAAGCGATGGACTTAGCGAGGAGCGGCGGTAGGAAACCCCTCAGAAGGAATCAGAGGCTGTCGCGCAGCTTGCCTTCAGGAGAAAAACCTCCGCGACCAGCCACCGTTGTTTAGAAGGGCGGACCTTCCAATACCCACAGCTCCTTGGTTCCGAAGAGAGCCATGAGGTCCGAGTGGACGTGTTGTCGAGACCGGCTTCGCAGAGGAATATGAACTCTCCTAAGGTTTTCCTCTGTGCTGTTAGGGCCACGATGGACCCCGCAGCTGAAGCGCTGTAAATCTGACCCCAGCTAGCAAGCCGCTAACAGCTCCAGGGACAGAATTTTTACAGGGAGAGTTGGACGATGTGCTGCATGTACGTACCTCGACGGTCTATGGTAGTTGTAGGCATAGAGCCAATATGGCGGGAGGTACGGATAAATCACACTGATAACAGCCACAAATACCTTGAGGTTGGTCTACATTCTTCTATTGAAGTCGCAAAACCCGAACACACCGTATAGCGGTGCTCAGGCTCAGCGTCCCCAGATCTGTTAATAAGAAAACGCGGGCAGAGTGACGCGGGTCGCCACAGATCATCATTACAAGGCTCAGTAATAAGCATCTGCAGAGAGCATCTTCCTTATTCTTGTACAGTGGGGCTCAGTGCTCGTTTTATCCAGTGCCCTGTAAACATTTTCTTCCGTTTTTAAATCACAGGCTTGCCAGCCCCCTAATCGTCAAGTCCAGATCCCAGAGTGTTCTTACTGAGGATCTCGCGCTGGAGATTGTTTCCTTCAGAAGACTGGTCTAGAAAAGCCCCAATATCATGAACCCAGCGAAACGCCACGCCCTCAACCACTCCGTGTCTCATATATAACCGGACTGCGCTGTCCTGGTTAATTTGTAGTAGCTCAAGATCAAGTCCATGATCTATGGTCAACCCCCGTGCCAGATCATAGTTTTGTTTCTGGATCGAGCTTCGGACCTTTGTACACTGCCACGCGCAATACTTGTTGACTGCGTCGTCTCGCAAACTAGATACTTCTTTGCGGGGTGAACTGGTCAAACGTCAGCGACTTCCGATCAGTTCGTTGCGTTGCCGGTCAGATTATTGCATGGAATGTTCCAAGCATACCTGAGGACCTCTTCGCTGTCAAGCCCACGATCTTGTCGGGAGGATGTCAGGGCTCGCTTCCGACGGCGACGTCCTTTACGTGGACTTTTCGCTGGCCTTGGCGAGCCAAAATATCGGGGCTCTTGGCCTCGATTAGGTATTCACCAGATAAAAACTGTTGATGAGGCAGAGGGAGCGAGTGGTGCCTTTGTTCAAATAAGCCTCGTTGGCCTAGCCGATCATTTTCCCGCTGATCACACATCGCTGAGCCTAGCGCTCCGTCGTTATCGATATTGTCGGTGTGGTAAATGTTCCAATCGTTGCTATGTTCGCCATGGAAGTGGGTACGTGTTATATTCGAGAAGTTGGTTTCATCCCCAGCCATGATGCCAAGAGAATCCGTGCACTGAAGCTGGCTCCCAGGATCCCAGCTTGACCTCTACGTAGGCCCATCAGCGATTGACATACTCACGCAGGGTAGAATACGTACTGAAGGCTAGAGGTGAAAGCTTGCATAATGCATGGCGGCAGAAATGAAGGATGCTGTTGAGCAGGGGACTCAGAGTGCTGCTGTTGAACAGGGAGTTCAGAGTGCTGTTGTGGAACGTGGTTTATATACTGACGGGGGTAAGGGTAGGGAGGGCGTTGCAAGGCCGGATACTGCTGCGGGAGCAAACTGCAATCTTGCGAGTTATCCGCCACAGCACTCTGCTGTACTTGATACTGATAGGTGTCTGACATCGTTATAAGTGAACAGAGTAGAAGAGATGAGAGATCAAAACGTCTCCAGCCGACGCCTATAAGTACTCGACACCTACATCAGTAGCTCCAACACTGTTTCTCTCTTGATACCGTTCTGCCCCCTCCTCAATGCTTCTCGACCAACAGTCTCACTTCATCTCCCGAGAACCTAGAAATGGTTGCACGAGATGCACGCGGACTCACTCGTCACACCAGGCTGCTTAAGTAGGGTAAAACTTTAGTGGCCCATTTTTAAACACTCGACAATCACAGGTAAGTATCCAACAACAGTGAGCCGTACATTCATCTCTTACGGCAGAACCCTATCCCCTGATGCTTTCATGACACTTGATCAAAAACGGCGCTCGAAATAATCGGTAGGTAGTTGAATTGCACGGCTGCACGACACCATAGCAAGCCCGAGACGCAGCTGCTCAGGCTTGATTGGTAGGCAGGGCATTATTAACACCTATGGCAGCAGGTTATGGAAATGCACGCTCGTGCTGAAGGATAATGGTTAGGTAGGCAGTGAAGGCCCTACAGGGCGGGACACCTCGATTGGTCTTAAAGGCCGGTTGTTGGTTCTTGGTTTGTTGCGGCCTTGCAACTAGTAACGGAGTCATACGCATATACGAGGCGCATGGCTCCCGTTTCGGCGAAGACTGCGTCTACATGTGAGCATGTCGTATTTTGAACTGAACCGGGCGACAGTCGTGAGCTATTTGGCTTCCATATCGATAAGCGAAGACGAGTAATACTGCCCCAACTGCCGCTTCGCAATAAGAGGTGGAGCGAGGAAGGGAGGCACAGCGAGCCGCATTCACGTGCTACGCATCGAATGTATGTAGGGTTGCTCCAGTTGGTGGGAACCAACTAACCTACAGACATGTGTTTTGCATGCTGCCTGGACCTGCAGACTGACCTGTCACTCTCAAAATCCTACGCTAGCTCTTATCGATCGCACTCAGCTTCCATAGCCGCCCAGATGACGTTCCTCCCGTCTGGTTCATGCTCTGTGATACGCTAGTGCATCCCAGTATGTTAAAGTGGAGCCCACCAACGGCTGCGATGATCCATTAGCAGCACAGCAGACCAACAATGCAACGATAGGGCTCACCAATCACGAGCCATGAAGGACCAAAGCGGAACGGGGGAAACGCACTCTTTATTGCCGCCGCCTTCCTCGTCCTGGACCATATTTTGCACTTATAGGGGAAAAAACAGGTTTCTGCAGGGGACGAGAGAAAGTGGAGCAGAAGGTGGAGAGAGGAAGGTACGGCACGGTTAAAGCCTACGATTATATCTGCAGCCCTGAATTGAGTCACGTCAGGTTGGCGCATGACGCTAATTACCCTGTCAGCCCGCCCTATCCCTTTGAGTGCGCGAAGGCCGGTCGAAGGTCACTTACAGAGATGTTAGCCAATGAACATACCATATAGCAGCTATACTTGGTATCTCTCGCGAATCTCACTAAACACTAGGTACCGTCGGCTTAACAAATACTTCTTAATCCCAGCAAATGCAGCAATCAGTAGCAAGAGTTTGCTTAGGCATATGTCTCGACTTAATATGGGCCCGGTAACCTCAGACCGGCCTTCGCGCACTCAAAGGGAGCAAGGCCCGAAGAGGGGGTGTCACTTCTTGGCCCGCTGATCACTGGAGTCAAATGTGGAGACAAGCAGCGGAACCGCTTCCTATTCGTATCTCGTAGCCATAATTGGGCCCCGACAGCCCTGCACACCTAGTGCTACCTCAACCTGCAGACCCGTGGCTAGGATTGGGCACTCTGCATCGGTTTGGCCACGCCACACTTCATCGGCAGCGCGGGCAAAATCCGCTCTCATATGCAGCGCGCTGTGAAGACCCTCCAGCTCCAAACCAATTAGCAAGGAAAGTGGAGAGCTCGGCAGAAAGTCCAAAGTCAAAACAGGCCATTTCCGCGTGTGTCGATGGGAGCCAGGGGGCCAAGGTTACATGGGGCCGGCAGCCAACGGCAGCCAATAGCGCATCAACGCTAAAGTGGAAGGGGGAAGAGGGCCGAGACGGACCGTGGGACGCATGCTAGATTCTCTTGCGGTTATTCGTTACAGTACAGCCACGGAGCCGCATTCCAGCCGGTCTAAGCTGTCCCCGCCAGACGAAAATTCATTGTTTCTGAGCAAAAGAAGTAAGGCAACGCTCAAGAACACGCCGACAGTTAGAGTTCCCACGACAGACCCTAGAATGATGGCGAGAAACAAAAGCACGCATCCAAAAGTCCGCACCGGCAGCACAACGACCGGAGCCAGCCAAGCTCGTGCGAGCCGAATTCCACTCACCGGCCAAAGCACGCCAAAAGCATCGCTTCGCAGAAACCGACGCAATAAAAGCGACAGTGACAACGACTTTGGAAGCGGTGTCGATTGTGACGATGCAAAATGCCGAGAAGCTGGGGATTCGGCGCTATCGAAGTTTCAAAGATCTCAGCAGGACGACAGCCCCCACGGACGAGCCAGCAAGAGGCAGAAAAGTCCAACTACGAGGTATCCGATACCGAAAATCTCAGTGGCGGCGAAGGTGCAACCTATATTCTCCGACGAGCCACTTACTCGCGGCGCTAAAGGAGCTCCAGACCAGGGTTCAAACGTCAGCGACGGTTCAACAGAATACTCAAACTCCAGATCGACGATTTGAATGAGAATCTGCAGTACATCAAGAGCCACCGGAAACCCGAAGTCAACGAAGAAGTCACTCCATATTTTGAGCTGTACTGCCTCCTGCGGGACGGCAAATATTATTGGATACGCGAGTCTGTCGTTCAGAGGGCGGCCTCTGCTGCAGTGTGCACGTACTGGGGTTGCGGGGTGAGGTGGAAGCTCTACGACAGACCAAAAAGAGGTGGGACGAGAGTTGTGGAAGCGCCCGCTAGCGACAGATGAGGATGGTGTCCCCCATGCCATTCTGGTTGTGGGACACGATCTTCGCGACGACGGTCAATCCAAGTTTCTCGTGCAAAATGTCGGGTATCCTGCGTCCCGAGCGAAATGGTACGTCGAAAGGACAGTGAAAAGTAGGTGGCGGAGCGAGTGCGATGACTACCACTTACGTGATACCGAATACTACTCCCCAACCGACAAAGCTGGACCAAAGCTCGATACGATCGTCGGTCATCGCGTGTATCGAAGCGGCAAGAACAGCTCCTTCGGAGCTTTCAGCTCTCTTGCCAGTGGGGAGATGGCACAGAAACTTGGGAACCCGAGGAGAAAATCCAGCAGAAGAACAACGCCGCTGTTCTAACGTACTGGCAAAGTGACCCACATGTGCGTAAGAAGGGCAAGGTGCCAGACAGACCACCTGAGTCATAAGCCACACGGTCGGGGGAAAGTTGCGTTTGCGGGTACAGTGGGTGGGTAGGTCTGCATGTCGGGGCTGCCTGCTTCACCAAAACACTCCTGTCCGACGACATACCTTTTGCCTAGTTGCAAGTTTAACACTACGTTGGAGCTGCCTGAACGAGCAACAAAGCTATTGCCAAGGCAGTCCAAGGAGTATTTAGAGAAGTATAGCCTGATTTTGACTTAAGATGCCGGGTTCGGATATCCTCGAGAGGACGATAATACTGGAAGGCGGTAGAGTGTGCGCATGCCGATGCTCATCGGTGCCAGCGCGCTTCGAAAAGAAACGGAGCTTTAGAAACAAATACATACATACGCGCATGTATATTATCATTCCCTTCCGGCTCCGATGTATCGTCTACCTATTGCTCAATAACAATGTAAACCCCTTACGCCAAGAGCACCCGAGCAATCATTCGCGCCAGCGGTCCAATTATCTGATCGTACGGGGCGCCAACTCCCGAGAAAGTGTCCGCAAATGTGAAACGTGTCAGCTCGCTGACGAAGAAATGACCATCCGGTGATATTCCACAATCGTATCGCGCTCCAACATGTACAGTCTCGAACCTCTCGCCCTTTAATTGACGAATCTGAGTGTCGGTTTCCAGTACGAAATCCAAGAGCTCATCTCGCTTCTGCTTTCTGGCAGTTTCATCGTCCTGGGAGTGCCAGTTGAAGTCGCTGAGTTGGAGTTGCCGCAGAGCCATCGGCTTGGCACGCGCATCCCAATCTTCTTTTGTTCTGAAGGCAGCGAGCACTTGTCCCCCGCACACCATGACCCTGAACTCGCCAATTTTCCTAAATGTCGGAATAAATTCCTGATGGAAATAGAATATACCTTGTTCTCGCACACCCGAACGTTGAGCGCGTTTGGTAGGCTTGGTGCGCCTAGCCACTCGATCTTGCGTCGGAGCCGTGCATAGCAGCTTCCCGCGTTGTGTGACAGGGACAACATGAACGTGAACCCCAGCGCAGCTGTAGCTTCTCTTCAAGACCATAAGACCGCTCTCTACATCACGGAGTGCACAGTGGCCCCTTCCGAAGCACGTCCTTGGTCGCCAGGTCTGCAGCTTCGCAGCGATGTCGTCCATTACCCTGACGTCGCCTACCTTATTCCGGCACCAGGACAGTTCCGTTTTGCTTGGGTAGACTCGCATATTACCCATCACAGCCTCCAAGTAATCAGTGGTGTCGTAGAGCCTTCTCACTAGGCCAGATGTGTCGCAGCTCGTGTCGGATACATATACAAGAACTTCATCGCAGCTAGAATTTTGCACCGTATGTATCAAGTTCTGTTCATCCAGCTTCCAGTTGCAGAAATCGACGGTTGCGGAAGATATGTGGACAGCAAAGAGCATCATCAAGACTGACTGGTGTATGAACACCACACCGTTACTATCGTACTCAATGAAAGAAGATCCAAGTCTGGCTTCGAGATCTTTCACCACGTGTTCGGAAACTGACTGAAATGGAGAACAGTGGTCGTTGAAGAGTTCCAGGTCTTTAAAGCAAACACGGACGTGGATGAACGAGTTTTCCCGGATGCTTCCGTCGCCAGCTGGAATGCCGACCCACACGACGTGTCGTGTCTTTGCCGGGCGAAGAGGACGCTGTAGCTGCAGGGCATTGCGTTCGCCTCTGAGCGGTATTGTCAAGTGGTGAAAAAATCCCCGCCAAAGGTTTTGATCAATCGGAGCCTGTATCTCAACGTTCATGGCAATGGAAAAGCTTCAAGGAGGAGACAGAGGTTGAAGTCTTCAGTCAAGGGGGTGTGCTATCTCGCTCAGTGTCGCACCCCGAAAGCACGGGTAACGTTCGATGCTATGCCGGGCCTTGTCTAGGATCTCTTTCGCATAGACTCTGTCGAGGCGCTGGTGATGACGGCTGCGTGGCCGCTGCTAATGATCGCAATAGCCCAGGTATTTTCCGACTGCAGCGGAAGGAGAGCTTTAGTGTCGCGGCGCTCTATACGCGATTGGCAGCTAAACGCGGGTAAGTCTGGGCGTGCAACCTTGAAGATCCCTTGACCAAGCTCCTCGAAGTGATCGAGTAGATTGGCGGGGTAGATCTCGTCCGATATCTGCCCTCGTTGACCGTCCTCATCGCGCGACGTCAGCAGGGTTGAAAAGAGACGAGACCAAGCAGAGGCATTAATGCATGCCGTGATGGTCATGCCTAGGACGCTACGCAAACCACTAACAGCAAGATAAAGATCGCGAGCAGCCTCGTTCCTACAGTCGCAAGTACGGCCAGGATCATTCGGGCCGTCGTTAGGTTGGTGGCAGGATAAAGAGTCGAATGAGATATCGGGTTGGAGCGAAAGATAGCTTAAGCAAAACTCTTTGACCGTTCCCGCAATGTCGTAGTTCGCCACTGATCCTGATCCGTAGATGGTTGCAAAGCTTCGATCTCGGTTGATGACTGTTAGGGCCTTTTGGTTGTCGATATTTAGCACCAGGACGATGATAGCTGTGTCATTAGGGTGTGGCTCTCCATCCCACCCAGCCGTATCGACATTGACTGTCATGGTTTTTACCAGGCCAATATTTTGAAGCACCCGAAGGGTTTTGTAGGTGAGGTCGTAGCGCTCTGGCGAGGCGTCTCGCAAGAGAACTTGCTCGGCTTTTTCGCAGTCTATCGGCGTCCATGTATCCTTGCGCCTTGGTTTACCCCGTTTTCGTTCCAGACGAGCCCTGTCTAGGGCGGAAAAGATGGCGTCCAAGTCCTCGTGTGGAAACTTTTCAACGAGCTCGTAAAGTTTCATGACAAATTTGTGGCTCGCACCTTGAATTCGACGTAGTAATGCATTCTCGTCAGATTTAAGTTTTTCAGCAATCACCAACGTTAGCCTTTTCCCCTTGCCTCCTCGCCGCTGAACAGGCCGCCATTCTCGTGACATTGGATTGAACCCCCGCCCAGACACTCGCTGCAGTGGAAGCTTATAGGTCGTCTGCAATCGAGGAACTTCGCTCTGGAAGAAGCTGAGACTTCGAATAAGTAATCCGCTACGAGGGTTGAGCCCAGTCAATGCTTTTGAGACGGTAAGGAAGCGGAAGGTGGGCCATCAACCGGCCTCCGGTGCTCAGTGAAAGGATTGTGGTCAAAGTCGGGGGAAGGGTTCCTGAAACCCGAGACTTATAGCAGCCGGCGCTACGTAACCTTAAATAGCTTCTGGAATTAGCGCGAATGCACCAGTTAGGTTCAGTTGGTGGGGGTACCCATCCAAACCCTGCCACGTCGAACCTTGCCACATCAAACCTTGCCACATTAAACCTTGCCATCTCAAACCCTGCCACGTCAAACCTTGCCACGTCGAACCTTGCCACATCAAACCTTGCCGCATCAAACCTTGCCACGTCGAACCTTGCCACATCAAACCTTGCCACATTAAACCTTGCCATCTCAAACCTTGCCACGTCAAACCTTGCCACATCAAACCTTGCCACATTAAACCTTGCCATCTCAAACCTTGCCACGTCGAACCTTGCCACGTCGAACCTTGCCACATCAAACCTTGCCACATCAAACCTTGCCGCATCAAACCTTGCCACGTCAAACCATGCCAAATAAATCCTTGCCATATCAAACCATCAAACATTGCCGTTCTAAACCTCGTCATTCCAGATTCAGCGACTCTTCCTCAACCTCGCTTGCATTGTATTGCATTAGTTACTGTTGGGAGTCCTGTAGCTTCCGTTCCTAGAACAAATGCGAATGGCCAATTTCAACCTTCATTATGCTCAACAGGCGCTTCCCGCTGTCCCGGAAGAAAATCGTTAAGTTACAGAATGCCGACGCAGCCACCGACGACGTCAGAAATGAATCACTCTCTTTGGGGTGTCACATTACGTAGTGCAGCAGCTCGAGCGTCAAGACCAGGCTGCGCGATGACGCTACGGAAGGCCGCGACTATCCGTCGGATTTTGTGGGTGTATCAAGCTACGACACGGCCAGAGTCGAGTTAGACGAGAAAGCTATCAATGAATTGGGGATGGCGTCCGCAAAAGCATGTGTTCCTTTGCGGGGCTACTAAGTGGACTGCAGCCATTCCATAATCCATCGTATCACGGGGCAGACCTAGGATGCCAGGGAAGATCTATGTTGTGCTGTGAGGAGGGCAAACTACGGAGGTGGAACAGAGTCTAGACTAAGTATAGGGAGGCACGTGACAGAACCCAGGTTGGTGCCGTGACACATCGTGTGCTTCCATTTCCTTACAGTAATGGTTAGCACAGCATAGATCCTTCATGCTTCATGTCTCGCTTTGATCTTCTCGAAAGAGTCCTCGAGGCTTATATCACGCATCTAACCCTGCTACTAACTCCATTTCACGGCCGCCACCGATATATTGGAGCTCATCACTCGTTTCTCACGTTGTCCTTTTCGCCTCGCCTCGGTTGTCCTTGACCCATTGAGGTTCAACCTGCACCTCATATGGAGTCCCTTGCTACTGTATAGCTCGCGCAGGCCATCCAGACCTCCCTTCCAAACTTACTCATTGCTTCAAATGTGCCTGCTCTGTCCGTTTCCTTCCCCATAGCTTCTTCAGCTCAAATGAGAAGCACCCGTACCTCTTCAATCTTCTAAATCACGTGGTCGAATGCCTCAATGGCCTTCTGAAGGTTTGTTTCCGTCATGTCCACCGCTTCTGGCTCAGCCATGGATACGCTGCCGGCCATTACGCTTGGACGTGCCGCTACTTTGAGCTGATTCCTTGTCAAGGTTCAAGCGAGCCGCGGGGTGACTCTATTGCATTCACACCATCAAGGTGGTTTGGAGACAGAAACAGCTGCCGCCTTAAGCTCATATGAAACACTGTCGGTGCTCAATATTTGGCCCTCGAATTGGCCGGTATGTATAATTGCTGCAGTAACTCTAAACTAAGGCTCAATAGGTACCTGTCGGTGGACCAGGGTAGCCCTGTTAAGGAGGGTCCAGGGACCCGGAGAAGGGATTCCTGGCCTATGTAGCAGGAACGCATGAGGACTTCCTGAGTAAGGAAGGCCCTTTATGCGTGGGCACAGCCACGTATGCGTGGGTAGAGCCCATTACTCAGGAGGTCCCCAGAAGTCCCTAAGACCTCCTGTATAAATAGCCCCTTCAGACTGCCCCTTTAGACATAGAACATGCATCTTGAACCTTCGTGTGTGACCCCCTTCTTATTCCGATGTGTATTGGCATAACGTTCCACCAACAGTACCGTATTCGCGTGCTTGGAACGCCGTAGACTACTGGGAAGTGCCAAGCTGACCAAGCGATGGTGAACCATAGCAAAGCATCGACGTATGAGCCTCAACTCTCGTTATGGGATACGTATGAGTAAAGTCAGACCAAAAGAACAAGATTAGAAAGTCGGGCTCTTCGCTTGAGAAGAAGATCATCGAATTGGGCGAAATCGGAAATACCATGGCGATTTTAATCTATGCTAATCCAATGCGCCGCCGATTGCTTTGCGCAGCTCATGTTCCTGGTGGGGAGGACTTACCAACCAGATCTAAATCGCACCGTATGTTTAAGGCACAAACGTTCCGGTAGATCAAGACTGAGAATAATAGGTCAGAGATCACTTGCGGATACAAGCCGTATCCCGTTGATTAGGCCAGCAACCGAACGCTGGAAACCGATGATAATACATTACAAACAGGCCGCTCATTTTCAGCAGCCGGCGACTTAGTATCCTTGACGAATGACTTCAGATGGATAATCAAACTCCACATAATTTCCGATAGCCGCCCTTACTATTGCTCTGCATGAGAAAGGGGCTAGTTGCGGCGAAGTGCTGCGATGTCTGATCGAGAGGTTCTGTGCAATTTGAGGCCGGGCAAATGTGACAAGAGTGTCAAACGACATTCCGCCTCAGTCGAGGACGTGTCTCGACCCACATGGGCACCGTTCTTGTGTATATAACTGGGACCTTCGTCCCCTTGACTTGGGCAGTGGTTAAGGCCAATAGACTCTCTATAACCGTCATATGCATGGCATCTCTCATTTCCTTTGACAAAAGTGCTGCCGAGTCGAGATAATGAGCCAAGCAAATTCTACCAGTTTTCTCTCGCCGGGTCGAGCTACTCTAAACCCATCCCATGTACCACTTTGACGCCGCGTATAGAAGAAGTTAATCGTCTTAGTCGGGCTCGAGGAATCGCTTAACAGACTGACCATCACGGTGGCGAAGTACGATAGCAAACCTTTCGCGAACCGCCTTTTCCTCTTCCACGTTACCCTTCGATCCCTTGAATTAGCCGGGGCCCAATTTTTCTAAGACAGACTGGTTATCGTAGTAAATAGCATATGTCGACACCCCACGTCCCTCTCGGCGAAGAAGTCTTGCTGGATCTTGGATCGATAGGGACTCGGACGATCTAATAGCATCGTAAATATGCAAGGTAATTCCAGAACCCTCAAGGTGAACCTCTGAATTGGCTTTATCGAATGTGGGGCTTCAAGGAATGAAGTAAGGTTTGCTTTGTGAATTGAACGTCCCCGCCCCAGTCGTTAGTGAGCAATGCTAGGTACGCTCCTTGTGTCTTTCCCTTGGAGACTTTGATGAGATCCTTGCCGATCAAGCACGGGACTGGTTGTTTGTTGATATGCCCATATGTTATATCAACAACTTCTTGAAGCCAAGCTTCGTCCTTGAACAAATGGGCCCATATACTTGCAGATTCCTTGATCCTTGATGGAACTTCGCGGTGGTTCTGCGTTTTGAAAAGCGAGTCTTTCGATAACGGTGAGAGGTAGCTCACGATTTGAATGAAAATATCGTATGGAGTTCTTGTCAGAGCCGAAGCAACCATTTTTCAAGGACTTATAGAGAGCTGTGTGCACATAACTCTTCAGTCATGTGGTGTTCATACCCATTATATATACACAGAGCTCTTCTGGGGGAAACAGCAAGTATCAGCCAAGTGCATTAAGCTGCTTTATGACAATGTTGGCTCTGGAAAAGCCTGAGGCTTCTATTAATTAACACAGCCGAAATCAGCCATTTTCATATCACGCACTGGACCTCGTAAGGCACGGAATAAACACCAGCAATCACGACAGCAGTCTCCGCACTTGTTGCCCTTGAGCCATACTGGTTTCTGATTTCGCCGCGTGTTGCACTCTGGATCACATGATATCCATTAAGTCACCTTCACTCATTTAGCGGACTCCTTTCTTCCTTTTCCATGTACTCAGCGCTCGAAGAGCCACCTTCACATAACCGTCGGGACTGTGCTTTCTCCCTCAGCGGTCTCGCAAAGTCGACAGGAAGCATAAGACGGTCCCGCTCGATGCATGCCAAAAACTTGTCGGCCCCGTGCCTCAATAGGATCTCTACGTTTTGCAGGCGGCCCCACAATGCTGCCTCCATGAGAGGAGTGCGGCCGTTGATGTCTGCGGCGTTCGCATTGGCACCCTTGGAGAGAAGAAGGTCAACCGTCTTAGGTACTGCTCGCACGCAGCCATGTGCAGAGCAGTCGTCCCAGATATCTCCACCGCGGCTTCCTCAAGCTTGTCTTCTCGTCCTCATCATCGGACGCCTCGCTAAGCAGCCCGTCCCATGAGTCAACTCCATGCAGAAAGATTTTCGCATCGGAATGGGTCCCAAGGTACTTTCGAACATATGGGACGTTACCCTGCACTATCTGTGTCACCACGGTGTCGATCGTCCTGTACGAAAATTTCTGGGATATTGTCTCGGTCTCGGTCGCGCATGCTCACTTCGGTTCTTTTCGACTTGCCCTCTGAAGAAGTGCCTCAGTCGCTCTGCCTCGTCATCATCTAGGACCCCAACGCCAGATGCGAGTGAAACGTGCCACGAAAGACTCTCGGTTTTCTACCTCATGAGTGGAAGAATCTCCCTTCCACGAATAATCTGATAGAGTGCGTGGCGCTGCTGCTACACTGCGACCCAATTCGCAACGGCGAAGTCCGGACTCTGAAGTACCAAATTGAGTTTCCCATTCACCCGCCTCATTTCGGCTATGAGATCGATAAGCAGAACGTTCGATTCGTCGCCGGCGAAGCTCTGGAGATCTTCTGCCTGATCGGGCGATACAGGTATCGTAAGAGCCCTCATTTCCTGTTCACGAGTCGGTGAGGAAGACTTTGACCGCTGACTTGGGCGGCGTTGAGCTCCCGAAAGCGCTGAAAGCGGCCGAGTTCGCCAGAAAAAAAAGCTGGTTTTGCAATCGTATTGCTTGCAGGCTGGACCATTAGCTAATCCCGCTTGCGAGGGCGCCATATGAGGCCCAACGGGACGGCTCGCCTTATCCTCATCTTGCTTTTGCCTCCAGAGACGGCCATTGCTCTTATTGCGCATGATATGGCGCTGGCTTCGATAATCACTTTTTGGAGAAATAACGGCCCATCCCCCCCCTTAAAAGGGACGAGAAAGCAATAAAGAAGGGTGATTTCACCATCTGACGTCAGCTGTCGATCTGCCTTTCCCCATCACAAGGAAGCTCTTTGGTCTTCACACGAGTCGCGTGTTGTGGAAGTGTCTATATACATACCTCATTATTATGGACTCGCATGGTACGAAAGCCCTTTTGAGTAATATCAAGAACTGTACAGACAGCCTTGGCCAAGCGAGCCGTGAACGATATGGCGCTTCGTCGGACGAACGACCTGCGCGTATGACAGCATACGTGGCCATGTTGTGCGAATTTGAAAATACGCCCCTCAAATACAACATCGCTGCGAGCGCGCTCTCGTGGCTGCTCCTTGCCGGCTACCTTGTCTTCCCGTCCACATTCGCCTCGCTCCGTAAGTCTTCAGTACTTGAAAAGGCGGGCGCCATCGGTCATTCGGTGGACAGTCTGGCGCGCGATGTGCCACTCACCGTCTTTGCTTCGCTCTTTTGCCTGTCCTCAACGATTGGGCTGCTATGGCTCTGGTGGAAGCTTCAGACAAATTACATTTGGGTCCAGCGACGCATCCTTCTGTAAGTCTAGAGTCATAAACAGCTTGATTTCAACTGAGGAGTTGCCTCTGATATCGCCCTTCCTCAATGTAGACCCATCCTGATGAACTCAGCTATGGGCCTTTTGTCGACTCTGTTGAACGTCTACACGACGCACGGCGGACACTGGTCTGTGACAGCTAAAATCACCGCCGGAGTGACGGGGGGCTGGTTCATACTTTGCAGCAGTCTTTACGTATTCTACGAAAAAATACTCGTCCCTCCGCTCGAACACATATATATCACGTGAAGCAATTGTTTGACGAGTTGTTGCACTAGGCAATAGAAATCTCATTTGAAAGTTATTGGATAGCCTATTCGAGTAATACATGTATCTGTAGGAATGTATCTATCTAGTGGTGTGACCAACCATGGTTGGCACGTGACCCGTACGGTCACGTGTGCGGCTGAGGGCAGCGTGCCCCCTTTCTCCACGCTGGCCTCTGCCTCCTTAGATAGAGAACAAGACGAATACAACATCACAGGTTAACCCTAGTACCGTCTCATTGCAGCAGCTGCCGCAGGTGCCTACCCACACTGATCAGTGACCGGCCCACGCCCGTCACAGACAGCTAAGTAGAAGAGACAAATTCCTCAACCTTCGAAGGTGCTATAGTCCGCGTCACTTTACTGTGGCCCTGAGTAGCGCTCAGAAGAAGGTTATTTGTGCTAAGAACAAGGAATCTCCCGCTGGTTTGCCCAGCCGCGCGAGAGTCCTTCCAACTGTTGATTACGATCGCCCGCTAGTTTGCCTAGCCGTGAGCACCGGAATCGACAGGCGACCACATCGCAAACAACTAGTAAGAACGTTCGACCCTTGACGTTAAGTAGCAAGATCCCCGTCAGTTCAGTCTGGCCGCGAACGACCTACTTAGTACGCGACGCTCGACCTCCTATTAGCGACAACTCGTATACGAAGAGACCAATACGAACCCCACATCGTCTCATTCATTTGATCACGATAGCCCTGACCGCCCGAGCTATGTCCCCAGAAGCCCAGCTCGAAGAAATATGCGACCAGATGCAGGCACTAGACATCCAAGCATCCGCATTCCGACAAATTAATATCGACCTTTGGGACAACGATATCACACACGACGAAAAGGACAAGATCGCAGTAACGACATATGTGGCAAAGTTCATATTCATCGTTCAATCTGGCAGTGATCAAGGATACGACCTCCTTGGTTACTTCCAACAGCATTTTGAAGAATGGACCGAAGACACATGGGACCGCGCCCGAATGAATACAAGAGAGCCCTCAGGAAACTACTAAGGAAAAGAGGTATCTACACAGGTTCACAAAGGGGAAATTCGCAACACAATTTCTCATATTACAAACTATCGAGAACCCACAAACCTGGCCAGAGCAGGAGTTTACGGAGATGGTGTTTGATGAGAGGACTGCTGCCTTCAGGAGGCAGACAGCATTACTAGGATCAAATGCTTCCACTAATCCCCATCCGTCTCAACCTCCTTCACCATCAGTTACGCCCTTAGCAGCACCTCATCAAGGTCTTAACGAACCACAACCTATTAAGACCCTAACGAGCCCTCCTAACGCACCTACTCCTGCTCCGACTATCCAAGATAAACCTGCTCCGACCTCTCTTACTATTCATCCGACTTCCTACCGCTTCCAGAACCCCGATCTCGTCCAACCCGTCACCAACTCCATCCCCGAACACTTATCCGGCCCTGCAACCTTTGGAGAATACATGAAACTCCCCCCGGATAACATCCCGAACGCTATCGTCGATAGCGACATCCAGCAGAAGTTTATGAAGACCTGGAACAAAGATCGGAACTACACAGGAGAGCCGTACGATCTCCTTGATGATAAGCTCCGCCTCTTCTTAAGCAACTGCTCTCATATCCCAGTGAAACCATCACAATTTCACGCACTCTTTCCCGGATCCTTGATGGAAGAGCCCAAAGATTCTATCTTGATAAGATCACATGGGCTACGACGTTCCGACAAGCGTATGATATCTTCAAACAACACTTTGACACGGAAGTCAACCATGTCCACTACCATACTGACTGGACAACAATAACCTTCAACTCCATCCGTGCCCAAGATGCTTCGAAGACCCCCCACGAAGTGCTTCAAATCCTCTTTGATAAGCTTCAGCTCTGCCAACGAGCCCTTGGCAGGGAGTACGCAGGAGACCTTCTACTGCGTACAACGCTTATGAAAGCATGCCGTGGAGTACCCGAACTCCAATACGCTCTTTTCAAACCCGCCGATAACGTCGAGCACCTTCTTGCAGATCTTCGTGCATCCGTTGAAACCCATCTTGCCCTCATAACAACTTCTCAATTTCCCTTGACTTTGCTGGATCATTTGATCATAACGATCCACACCATCAGTACTACCTCGACCGTCGATACAATAACAACCGCTCTCGAGGTAGATACGGATATTCAGGTCAACGACCCAGCCGCGGATACAGACAAAGCTACAACCGTGGAAACTACCGGCCTCAAAGCCGTAGTAACTACAATCATAGCTACAGTAACCGAAACTGGACGAAGAAGTGTTTTGTTTGTGGACAAGAAGGCTGTTGGTCAACTAAACACTCTACGGATGAACGGCAAAGGCCAAGGACCAACATATCACTCAATGTCACTTCATAGGTGTACAACTCACGGACATCGGAGGCTATATTCTAGACTACGAAGGTCATGAGATGAGCAGCTTTGATGACACTGAAGATACATGGGAAGAACATGACAATAGCACCAACGATCACCCGGAACAATGGCAAGCAAGCCAAATGCTCTGTCAACAGGCATTCAATCATTTGATCACAGGAGAAGACGTCTATCAGACGGATCAAACCGTTGTTCCAGCCTCGCAATTTATTATTGAAGATCGCTATTCAAGGGATAGATTCCAAGGTATCATGATCGACACAGGTGCAGCAACATTTTCCACAGCAGGATACTCTCAGTACATCGCCCTACAACGAGAAGACCCTTCTGTAGCTCTCGACAGCTCCACATCCGGCCAGGCCTCCATCAAATTCGGCAACAGCGACGCCATCCACCCTCGGCACAGTCGCCCTTAACACACCCTCGGAAGGATCACGTTCCACGTCCTTCAAACCCCAACTCCCTTTTGCTCTGCCTTGCTGATATGGACCGGCTTGGTATCTATTTCAACAACATCACAGATACCATCAATTGTACTAATCATTGTACTAATCGCCCTACAAGCATTCCAGTCGTACGCAAATGGGGACATCCCTGGTTCTTCCTTACGAAAGATGAAGAGTCCATCTCGTTTCTTACGGAAACAGAGATTCGTACACTTCACCGACGCTTTGGACACCCAGCAGTCCCTAGGCTCCATCACCTCTTGAAGCAAGCCGGGCACAGTGACGTCTCGATAGACACATTAGAGACTATCTCTAAGTTCTGTCACCACTGTCAAATGCACTCACAAGCCCCACGCCGCTTCAAGTTCACCCTTAACGATGATCAAGAGTTCAACTACGAAATCATCGTTGATGTGATGCACCTAGGAACACCACAACGCCCTGTTCTACACGTTGTGGACTCAGCTACTGCTTTCCAAGGAGCCAGATTTTTACCGTCAATGTCAGCTAAAGATACATGGAGACCCTCCGGACCCTCTGGATCGACACGTATCTTGGACCTCCTGATACCCTCCGTCATGATGCAGGAACTAACTTTGCTTCTCTCGAATTCCGGAACGAAGCAAAGATTATGGGAATCAAATGCTCTCAAGTACCTGTTGAGACGCATTGGTCCATTGGAAAGATTGAACGCTATCACGCACCCTCCGACGCGCCTTTAACATCCTCCATGCTGAGATTGGCCACACCACTTCCGCCGAAACAGTCCTTCAAATGGCTGTTAAAGCAATCAATGATACGGCAGGACCTGACGGTCTTGTGCCTACGTTGCTTGTTTTCGGCGCATACCCTCGCGTATCTACAGACTCGCCCCTTCCGCTTCTACCCTCAAAAGATCGGAAGCTATGCAGAAAGCGATGAAAATGCTCCGCCAACTCTCGGCAGAAAGACGAGTTAAGGATGCCCTCCATGCACGCAACGGCCCGAGCACGACAGAAGTGCTATCCCTCCCGCTGCAAAGTGAAGTTCGCGTTTGAGAGAGAAAGACGGTTGGCAAGGACCCTTCAAGATTGCATCGATTGATACCCATAACATCACCATTGACACAGTCAACGGCCCCAAGTCTTTCGATCGACCCTTGTACAACCGTATCTGCGTGATGATACCACTCTTTCCGACCCTACACACGACACAGACCCTCAGGCATTCGTTCAGATCTTAATGAACAACCGGCTCAAGACCCCGTTAAGACCCTAACGGACCTGCCTGCCCGACCCGAACCCCCGGCCCCCCGCAAGAGAGGACGCCCACCAGGATCAAAGAACAAGCCAAAGGATTTGATCATGATGGCCTGCCGTAGACCAGAGCTTCTTGACCCAAAAGGAGGAAGATGCACAAGCTCTTTCCCTCAAGCTACGGTCTGATGGCATAATCACCTCTCCTGGTGACCCTTCGAAGAATCCGATAACAAAGAGATTACTGACCTCGTTGGCCGCGGTGTATTCCAATTTGAACGATACGATCAAATGAGTCATGGAAACTATAGAATCTTTCGCTCTCGAATGGTTCGTGAAGTCAAAGGAATCAACACTAAGCCCTACGAAAAGTCTCGACTTGTTATTCAAGGACATAACGACTTTGAGAAGACCACCCTCCTGACGCAATCTCCGACAATTCAACGCGTTAGCCAGAGACTCATCCTCGCTATTGCCCCCGGACTTCTTCAAAACTACGGCATAAGTCCCTGCACATAGAAATGGGCACCCCCCTGTTTTGGGCACCCAAGATGGGTGCCCAACCTAAACGGCTGCGTCAACTTCAACAGCAAATTTCACCGCGGAAACGCATCCAATCTGCTAAAAAATTGACGCATGTGTCTTCAAGCCACTACTGATGAAATATACAGAGTCTGACATTCACAGCGCCCTTGAGGCAATCGCCAATGGCGGATCCGCCAAGAAGGCTGCTCGCGATTGGGGCGTCCTGAGGGCAACTCTTTACAATCGCATGCATGGTCACGAATGCAGAAAGGATGCATTTTCTGCTCTTCAGAGGCTTTCTCAGACACAGGAAAAGCAACTTACCGAATGGATTCTCATTCAGGACGCCTTGGGCCTTCCTCCCACTCACTCGCAGATCAGGCAGTTCGCGCAGCGCATGCTCGCCGTCAAAGGAGACCACACACCGCTCGGAAAACACTGGATGCAAGCATTTTTAAGACGAAATCCTGCAGTTCGGACCCAGAAGTGCCATCACAGAGACTCTGCGCGTGTCAACGGCGCTTCTACCGAGGTAATTCGGCCTTGGTTCAACAATTTCTTCCTTCCCGAGATTCTGGCTATTAAGCCGGAGAACAGGTACAACATGGATGAAGCAGGCATCATGGAAGGACTTGGGGAGAATGGCCTGGTCGTTGGCAGTGCTGAAAACGATCTGTACAAAAG